AATAATAATAAAATTAGAAATTATGAAGTTATTTATTATAAAAATGAAATTAAAAATTCCTGTATCCCCGTGGCCCCAGGAGTCTAGCTAGGATTTACCACTTTCGCCAGGAAGAGGAACGGAGTGATGTTGATCAACATTTGGTTTGATTAGAGAACTGAAGATTGTTTCCATTTGGTCAAGACAGAAGGATGGAAGGAATATGTTAGCGTAGTGACCAGGGCATTTAGAAAGAGAACAAAATTAGGCTTCTCTGTTGTAAACAGCCCTCTTTTCCAGACGAGAACTGACAAGCCTTTTAGCTTTCAGAAACATTGACAGGGCGGCATTTCTAGAAGAGGTCACAAAAGCGTTTCTGTGTCCTATCAAAGTTCACAAAGATTAAACCAAGTTGAAAGTGGGAACGTTTACACCCAAAGATGTACCATGGATTCTGATTCTCCAGAAAAAGTTATAGAGCCTTCCTATTTTTTAAAAGAACATTTATTGGGCCCGGCGCGGTGGCGCAAGTGGTTAAAGGTCCTCGCCTTGCACGCCCGGGATCCCATATGGGCGCTGGTTCTAATCCCGGCAGCCCCGCTTCCCTTCCAGCTCCCTGCCTGTGGCCTGGGAAAGCAGTCGAGGACGGCCCAAAGCTTTGGGACCCTGTACCCGCGTGGGAGACCCGGAAGAGGCTCCTGGCTTCGGACCAGCATAGCATGGACCGTTGCGCTCACTTGGGGAGTGAATCATCGGACGGAAGATCTTCCTCTCTGTCTCTCCTCTCTGTATATCTGCCTTTCCAATGAAAAAATAATAAAAATAAATCTTTAAAAAAAAATAAAAGAACATTTATTTATTTTTATTGAAATGTCAGATTTACAGAGAAAAGGAGAGATAGAAATATCTTCCATCCGCTGGTTCACTCCCCAAATAGTCACAACAGCAGGAGCTGAGCTGATCTGAAGCCAGGAGCTTCCTCTAGGTCTCCCACGTGGGTGCATGGTCCCAAGGTTTTGGGCTGTCCTCGACTGCTTTCCCAGGCCACAAGCAGGGAGCTGGATGGGAAGTGGAGCAGCTGGGATACAGCCCATATAAGATCCCAGCATATGGAAGGCAAAGATTTAGCCATTAGACTATTGCTTCAGGCCCACACCTTCTTATTTTCTTATAATTCTGTCCTATGGGAGAGGAAGTTCCCTCAGGCCCTTTTTAAGGGCTAGGGAAGAAGGAAATATGTGTGCCCAAGAATCCAAGAATTTGTATAAGACAGGTCAGAGAAGCTCTCTGCCTGTGGCCTGGCAAAGCAGTAAAGGATGGCTCTAAGCCCTGGGACTCTGCACCCACTACCCATGCAGGAAAGCAGGAAGAAGCCCCTGGCTCCTGGCTTCAGCTCAGCTCAACTCCAGCTGTTGCAGCCACTTGGGGAGTGAACCAGGGAACAGATCTTTGTACCTCTGTAAAATCTACCTTTTCAATACATATAAATAAGTGTTAGAACAAAGACAAACAAGTAAAATACGAGAGAAATCTACTTGTTGGTTCACTCTCAAATGGCTACAACCACTGCAGCAGGGCCTGTCTGAAGCCAGGAACATTTTCTAGGTCTCCCATATGGGTGCAGGGGCTCAAGTACTTGGGCCATCTTTTGCTGTTTTCCCAGGAGCATTATCAGGGAGGTGGATGAGAAGTGGAGCAGCTGAACCTGAGGCCGGACTGATATGGGATGCTGGTGCTGTAGGCGATGGCAGAGCAGGCCCTGACCTCACTCTGTGCAGATTCCAGGATTAAACAGAAGGGATCACTGGAGGGTTTGAACCTTTTGAACCTTATGTCCATCCCAAATTGCATGGGTTCTTCTCCACCACAGGACAAAGGCATTAGCTGTGAAGACCTGAGTCATGCTTCCATCTTCTCATATACTTCTGCAAGGGTTCTAAACATCCCTTCTGGACCCACTCCCTCACATATATGTGACTAGAAGTCCTAAATTAAATCATTTGAAATTTAGGATTCATGATTTTATCCAGAAATTCTACAGAAAACCATAGCATGGCATTATCCTAAAGGTCACTGATTTTAATCCTTTGTTTTTTATCTTCCTTAAATCTTGACGAAGGCCTATTTATTTTTCTATGCCTGTTATGGTACTGTCATACCTAGAAAATTGTTACACAATAACTTCCTCCTATTTTTTCTAAGTCTTACAGTTTTAGCTCTTACATTTAAGCCTTTGAGAGTATTTTAATTCTTGCATGATATGAAGTATTCCCAATTTATTATTTTATATGTGGATATACAAGTTGTCCTAGTCCTATGTGTTGGAAAATGTTCTTTCCTGCAATGAACTGTTGGCATCCTTGGCTGAAAACCAACTGGTACCTATGAATGGACTTACTTCTGGACCCAATTCTATCCCATTGACCCGTCTACCACCTGTATGTCTACCCAGTGCCAACGTCACACTGTCTTGATTACTGTAGCTTTGTAACTAAAATTGGAAATCAGGAAATGTAGTCCTACAACTTTTTTCAAGATTGCTTTGGTTTTATGAGATCTGTATGAATTTCACATGTGTCCTGGCCATTTCTGCCAGAAAAACCTAGAATTTTTGCAGGAACTTAATCTATCAATTACTTTGGGGAGTACTACCATATTAGTAATCTCCAAATACATAAACATAGGATGTCTTTTTATTTCTTTGGGTTTAGGATATTTGCAATTATGCTTTGTAGTTTTTAGTCTATATTATACTTTTCTGGTTAATTCTGTTCGTAGGGCCCAGAGCATATAATGTTTAGTGATACAATTATTTTTGTATATTCATCTTGTATACTACAATTCTGCTGTAGTTGCTTTTTGGGTCTATTTTTTTGGCATGTACATTCTTTGGGGGGGGGGGATTATATAGATCAGACCACATAATATGAAGTACATGCAGTTCTTTTTTTTTTCCTTTTTGTTAAAGATTTATTTATGTATTTGAAAGAGTTACAGAGAGAGAAAGGGGCAGAGAGAGAGATAGAGATCTGACATGTGCTGGTTCACTCTCCAAATGGCTGTAACTGGCTGAAGCCAGGAGCCAGGAACTTCTTCCAGGTTTCCCACGTGGGTGCTGCGTGCAGGGTCCCAAGGACTTGGGCCATTCTCCACTAATATCCTAGGCACATTAGCAGCGAGCTGCATTGGAACTGGAGATCCAGGACATGAACCAGTGTCCACAGAGTATGCTAGCTATGCTATAGAGTCAGCCGTCTCTCTCTTTTGAACCTGCACGCCCCCTTTCCCACCCTTTCTGCTATGTAAATACCATAGCTAGAAATTCCAGCACAACATTAAATGGAATTTGAGTGGGTATTCTGGTGTGGCTGTTGTATTTTAGGGCAAAATTCATTTGTTCTTGTATAATCCTTTTTACGTTGCTGGATAAGGCTTGGTAGTATCCTTAGAGGAGACTGCTTTTTTTCCTCTGATATACTGACCTGAATTTTTTTGTCTTAAATTTATACAATGAACTGAAAATATTCCTCTTTCTTGGAAAAGTAGGCCAAGACTACTTTAGTTTTAATGTATCCTAATGCTTTTAAAAACAGATTTATTTTTGCCTGGTGTGGTAGCCTAGTGACTAAAGTACTCGCCTTGAATGCGCTGGGATCCCATATGGGTGCCGGTTCTAATCCCGGTGGCTCTGCTTCCCATCCAGCTCCCTGCTTGTAGCCTGGGAAAGCAGTGGAGGATGGCCCAAAGCTTTGGGACTCTGTGCCTGCATTGGGGGATCGGAAGAAGCTCCTGGCTCTGGCTTTGTTTTGGCTCGGCTCCAGCTGAGGGGACCACTTGGGGAGTAGAAGCATCGGATGGAAGATCCTCTTCTCTATGTCTCCTCTGTTTTTTCTGACTTTGCAATAAAAATAAATAAGTAAAATATATATATATATATAATAAATTCTTTAAAAATTCATTTATTTGACTAGTTCTTCACTTACAGATCTTTTTGTGTATTCCAATGTGCAGTGACACCATCTACACAAACATTTATAAATTTTGGGTCAGGAGATTTGTATATACACTTTTTTTATTAAAGATTTATTTATTTTTATTGGAAGTCAGATATACAGAGAGAGAAAGATCTTCCACCTGCTGGTTCATTCCCCAAGTGGCCGCAATGGCCGGAGCTAAGCTAATCCAAGCTAGGAACCAGGAACTTTTTCCAGGTCTCCTACGTGGGTGCAGAGTCCCACGGCTTTGGGCCGTCCTCCACTGCGTTCCCAGGCCACAAGCAGGGAGCTGGATGGGAAGAGGAGAGCCAGGATATAAACCAGCACTCTTCTGGGATCTTTGTGCATGCAGGGAGAGGACTTTAGCCACACTAGGTTACTGTGCCAGGTCTGAACTGTATATCTTGAATTTTGACAAATATTGGTAATATGGTTTCTAAAATGTTATGAGCAATTATTTGTATGTAGCCATTATTATTTAAAGAAGTATGCTGCATATGTTAACACCTTTAGATTTGATCCAAATATGGTATATAAAACCATACTTCTCTCCTTCTTCCTTAAGACATATTTAGGCTTAATAACATGGCTTCCCAAAGTTTTAGATATATAATAAATATTAGGATGTTAAGTGGGGAAGACTTGGTCTGCAATTAATAAAGAAGCCAGTGAAGGACTGGTACCATGGTGCAGCCGGTAAAGCAGCAGCCTGGCCGCTGCCTGGAGTCCTGGCTGCTCTGCTTTCCATCCAGCTCCCTGCTCCAAGTGTTTGGGCCTCTGCAGCCACATGGGAAACTTCGAAGCCCCTGACTCCTGCCTTTGAGCCAGCTCAGCTCTGGCTGTTTGCAGTCATTTGGGAAATAAATCACACATGGAACATCTCACTCTTTCTCTAACTCTGCTTTTCACATTTATAAACAAATCTTGAAGGAAAAAAAGCGAAAGTCAGAAGATTTGACATGAAAGAAGGGAGCAATTCAGCTTTTGCTTTTGTTACTTTTCCTAAAATAATGCCTGGAAAACTACTTTTCAGGGTAATAGTTTTATTACATAATACATTAAAAAAATAAACAAACAAAAGTCCAGAAGCACAGTAATACTTATTGTCTTGTGCGAAGATTACATCTTCTGTTTTTGTCATTTTTAAAAAAATACAAATCAACACTCACCACAACTTTAGGAAATTAAATTGAACCTTTAGAAGGTATCGCATACGGACCTGGTTGGGATTATAGACAACAAACTCATTGTAGTTAAGAGTATAACCCTCTGGATTCAGAATTCCGGTTTCACTTGCTGGCCCTAAGGGCACTGTACTCCCATTCCTGCAGAAATGAAGAAAGTATATCAACATCAGCCTTTGGTTCAGAAACTGGAATGGAGAAAATGATTTTATGTGACAAAATGGGAGTCTTCTAGTGCTCCCGGTTCTTCAGGACTTACAGGGTGATGGAGCAGGAAGGACTGGGAGCCATCTTGCCCAGACCCTTGGTGCTGTGTTTGCCCTGAAGTAATCCCTCTGCTTTAGGATTGGCCTCCAGTAGTTCATTACAGTGCCCGAGGGCTACCTGCAAAGCACAAGATCTTTGAATGCCCACATGCGAATGAGAACTAGATGGCTCTACAGTCAAACAGAAAACCACATCAAGACTTTATTCCCTAACTTCCACCAGCAGTGGAGCTCTATGAGATGCAAGAGGCACTTGGTTTCCATTTTGTGCTACCCCAGGTGAGCTTCATGGTTCTGGGATCAAGCTTTTTTCACTGGAAAAAATAGGAGTACTAAAGGAGAAATCACAATTACCTCTGATAAGAGTAGCAGTCCGATATTCTTTAGGTGAGAGGCAAAGCAGTAGTTGGCACTTTTGGAAGACATGTCAGCAAAGTAGATTCCTTTTCCAAACTGAAATAAACACACACCAAGGCCAGCTACTTAACTATTCTCTTAGACAAGAGGCTTGTATCAACGACCGACCCAGTCTTCCCATTTTGGGCAACACAAAATCCATCCTTCTCAATTCCTCTTCTCTGTGTGTGTGTCTGTGTATTTAAGTATTTATTTATTGTAAAGGGAGAAAGAAAGAGAGAGAGAGAGAGAGAGAGAAAGAGAGAGAGAGAGAGTCTCACCTGTTGGTTTACTCCCCAATGGCTCTAACAGTCAGGAATGGGCCAGGCTGAAGCTAAGAGCCAGTAACTCTATTTTGGTTTCCCTCCTGGGTGGCACCAGAGCCCAAGTGACTGGGCGATCATCTGCTGCCTTCCCAGCCGGACACATTAGCAAGAAGCTAAACTGGAAGTGGAGTAGTTGTGGCTTGAAGTGATACTTCAATATGGGATGCTGGATTACAGGTGGCGGTTTACCCCATTACCACAAAGATGGTCCCTTCCTTGATGGTTCTATTCCAAAGAGGGCAAAAGTACTTGTGAATTATTACTTTCTGGGGGAACTGGACAGATATCTTTAGGTATTTAAAGAAAGATGAACTTAGTACGAGATGACAGCGTTATTGGTAAAATGGCTTAATTCTTTGGGAGGGAAAAATCTAATTATAAGCCAGGAAAAATGACCAGAGAATGTTACTGTCTAAATTTTCCTCCCTCCCCATGTTCCCTTCCAAGTCAATTTGCACTCACCATGTAACCTGTGATGGGAGCCTCGGGTGGGGCAATTCGAAGCCCATGGCTCAGGATTCCTACCCAGTTACTCAGTCTGGAACCATGCCATAGCAGCATCCTAAGGAAAAGCTATTATTATTGTATTCTATTGCAATTCTGTAGACAGGCTACATGCATAAAATCAACCAATGCCCCTTCCACCCTCCTGAGTTCTATGAACTTTGGAAGAGAATTTCGTCTCCAACCCACAGCTAGTTGCAGACCTGTTAGGAAGGTCCTCTCTGAAGGCTTCTTTCTCTCCCTCCTTTTCAACTTCAAAAACATCCAGCAAGGTCATGGTGTAGTCTTTGTGTGTGGGAGCATGAGTAGACTGTAGGTACTGAGAAATCACCTGTGCAAGAAAGGGAGAAATGCTCCAAGATCTTGGCTGAACTGAAGCAGTCAGGGTTTCTGCTATAGCTTGGCAGATTTCTTTGTTCTCAGACAAGGAAGCTAATGCACTTACTTTCCCAACTCCCAGTAAACAAAGTCCTCCCAATCTGTTAGTAGGGAGAGTGTCTTAAGGATATAACAGTTTAAAAACTTACTTTGAACTCATAACTTTCGTGGTCTACAGGGTGCAAGGCACAATGTAGGTTTCTATAGTGTTGGTCTAATGGGTGTTCTGGGCTTTGCAGCTCTGTCTTCACCAGTTTAATGGCAATTTCAATGTCTCCCAAAGCCTAAGCAGATGAGACACAGAGTTGATTTGGAAGGGACCTGGTTTAACAGATTTAATACTTCCCAATTCATACATAGCTTACCTCCAGTAGCAATATTTTTTCTGAGAGCTCTTTCTCTGTTCGGATTAATGGAGGGGTCCGCAGTCTAAAGACAGAAAAGATATAATGAGCTAATACATGGGTAAAGGAAACTTAACAAAGAATAGCGCAGTTAAGACAGGCCCTTCAGGGGCTGATGCCATGGCTCAACAGGCTAATCCTTCACCCTATGGTGCCAGGATCCCATATTGGTGCTGGTTCATGTACTGGACGGTCCACTTCTGATTCAGTTCTGCTTTTGGCCTGGGAAGGCAGCACAGAATGGTCCAGGCACTAGGGACCCTGAACCTATGTAGGAAACCCAGAGGAGACTGCTGGCTTTCAGCTTTGGATCAGCTCAGCTCAGCTCTGGGTGTTGAGGCCATTAGGGGAGTGCATCAGCAGATGGACCATTTTCTTGTTCTACAAATTTGCCTTTCAAATAAAAATAAATGAATCTTTTAAAAAAAGATTTATTTATTTTTATTGCAAAGTCAGATATAGAGAGAGAAGAGACAGAAAGGAAGATCTTCCATCCGATGGTTCACTCCTCAAGTGACCACACCAGCTGCTGCTGCATCGATCTGAAGCCAGGAGCTTCTTCCAGGTCTCTCATGCGGGTGCAGGGTCCCAAGGCTTTGGGCTGTCCTCAACTGCTTTCCCAGGACAAAGGCAGGGAGCTGGAAAGAAAGTGGAGCTACCAGGATTAGAACCGGCGCCTATATGAGATCCTGGCGCATTCAAGGCAAGGACTTTAGCTGGTAGGCCACTGCACTGGGCCCAAAAGAAGTAAATCTTAATTAAAAAAAGAAGAAGAAGAAAAAAAAAACAGATATGTACTTCGGAAAATGAGTCTAAATAACAGGTTTTCCATTTGTGACAGACATCTGTAAAGAGACGTTAACTCCTAAACACGACAAACGATATTAAATGTGCATTTGGAATAGGATAAAACAAATTAAATAGATTTTGATATTTGAGACTAGCGCTGAAATTCTTTTCAAGGGGAAACTTTATATAGAACAACCTGTACAATATCAACAAAGAAAATCTGGACCCAGCCCCAACAAGAAGCAGAGGTGGACCTGCTGACCTCACAGGACTGTTTCTAGATCACAAGGCACTATATAAAGCACTAAAAGCAGTAGGAATAGAATGAAAACCAGACACAGAATCAACACTGATAACATGTTTTTCATAAGTTTAACACATTTTAACTTACAGAATGTTGCTTGTGGACAGTCTCTTTAAAGAATAAGAAAAGGGAGTGCCATTCCTTAGGCTATCTTACTGAATGGCTGCATTGCTACACTCCTCTAGAGCTGCAACTCCTACTCAACCAGAGAATATGGTTGAAATCACACCAGGAGAACGTACTCCAGCTATGTAAGCTGATTAAATAGGCTCTCTAGAAATCAGTTTGGCTCTGAATCTACTTTGGATAATTTCCATGGGAATAAAAGAATGAAGACAGTCTAACCGCTGGTGATAGATTCAGGAGATATGGATAAGCAGAACAACAAGTGAAGAAATAATACAGGTCTCACCCAAAGTCATGCGGGATCCTGGTATAGAATTCGTTGCACGCTTCCAGGAGAACGCGCCCATGCTGGCCAGATCGAATACAATCTTCAATCTTCTTAAGAGACTGGTAACCTGCCTTGATTTGTGCCACTGTCAGTTTCCCTGCAGACCCACAAGGAGATCAAACTAAGTCCTATCCTGGAAATTACGTTTACATCCCTGTCCAAGAATCTCACCTTTCAACTTTCAAAAAGCTCTCCTTTCCGCCACACAAACTCAAATCTCCACTTGATCTTAGCCAAAAGGCCGAGAAGCGATCAAACTCAAATCTCCAAACCTGCTTTCATTCAGTACCTTCAGCAAGCTTTACATCATGTTAGTGACTCAGGAAATACGAACAGAGGGTGCAGGAAAGAATCTGAAGTCCTACCAAGCGGGGCCTTCTTGGTATCATACTTCATTTCTATCATCATCTCTTCCATGGCCTGGACATTGCAGATCAGCTTGATCAGCTCTTGTATCCGAAGATCTAGCTGCGACTCCGGTCGCAAGGGTGATTTAAGCGGGTCCTCTTTTTTTGTTTCATCTTCATCCTACAGCAAAACCAATGAACCAACCGGCTCACAAGGTCTGAAGGGATGCATTTTAGAGTCCTGCAGACTGGCTAGGCACAGTGATCATCTCTCAGCCTCTGCCCAAAGAGGTACATTTTATTCTTACCTGAACCAAAGCACTCAATGTAACTTCCACCTTTAATTACTAGTCTCTCCTCCCACAGTTAAACATTCAGAGGAAGTTTAGAAGGCTTTTTCTGGTGATACTAAGCATGTATAGACCGTTGTTAGGCCTCAAGGGCTCCATTTTAGGATTTCTCCATTTTTCACAGAAGCAGCAGTTTTTTTGGACAGTTCAGCATTCAGGTTTACCTTCGTTTTTCAAAATTCCCTGTTTTGGGGCTTAGCCTGATGGTTTAACTGCCCATCCTCTGCCTGCAAGCTCTGACATGCCATATAAGCACTGGTTCCTGTCCTGGCTGGTTCATTTCTGATCCAGTTCCCTGTTTATGACCTGGGAAAGCAGTGGCAGATGGCCCAAACCCTTGGAACGCTGCACCTATGTGAGAAGCCTAGAAGCTTCTGGCTGGTGGTTTTGGATCAGCTCAGCTCCTGCAGGAGCAGCTATTTAGAGTGAACCAGTGAATGGAAGACCTCCTCTACCTCTCCCTCTCTTTGTAAATCTGCTTTTCCCATAGAAATTAAAACATTACTAGAGTTAAAAATAAATGAAGACAACTTACTGATCAGTAATCTAAATTGATTACTTCACCCTTGGTCTGTAACAATGAACTTCTGCAAGCTGGGCCCAAGACTTGAAAATAATCTTAATCAATAACAGGAGAGACTGGAAAGGTAACTTCTATCTGTTTGCTTTCTACTCCTTTGAGATTACAGAGATCAGAGAGAGTTCACCAAAAGGTGAGAAACAGTGACAACCCAAGCCACTCTGGCCTATTCTGGTCTAGGATGAATTAAAACTACCCTCTTAGCCTTCACCCTGAGTAAGAGGAACCGTTATTTCCCACAAAGGTATGGTTGGAATTTACCTGAGTATTGCTGGCATAGTCCATCTGTAGCATATCATATTTTCCAGGCACCTTCTTAAACTTTTCACGATCCTCCCAATTATTTTTTGTTTTGTCAAGGAATCTGTAGAGTCCCAAGGGAAGTAAGAAAACTTAGGAATAAAGTTCTATTACTAGGGATGAACTGAGAACTAATTCCTTAGAAAACCTCTAAAAATTATCCATTCCCCAATCACTTCAGAGCTCTTTCACATGCCAAATTTCCCTAAACCTGAATTCTAAATGAGGTCATCAAATGGAGAAAACTCTAGAAACAAAGGGTATTTTAAAAATTGGGAATGGGTCAGTATTGTGGTAAAGCAGGCAAAATAGCAACTTTAAAAAAAAAAGATTTGTTTAATTTTTTAATTGAAAAGTCAGATATACAGAGAGAAAGAGACAGAGAGATCTTCTGTCTGCTGGTTTTCTCCCCCAGTGGCCCCAATGGCCAGAGCTGTGCAGATCTGAAGCCAGAAGCCATGAGCTTCTTCCAGGTCTACCAGGTGGTGCAGGGTCCCAAGGCTTTGGGCTGTCCTCGACTGTTTTCCCAGGCCACAAGCAGGGAGCTGGATGGGAAGCCGGGCTGCCAGGATAAGAACCAGCGCTCATATGGGATCCTGGAACATGTAAGGCGAGGACTTAACTGCTAGGCCACCCCGGGGTCCCCAAATAGCAACTTATTATGCCAGCATTCCACATAGGTGCTGGTTTGAGTCCCAGTTCTTCCACTTCTGACCCAGTTTTCTGCTAAAGCACCTGGGAAAGCAGTGAAGGATAGACAAAATCCTTGGGTCTCTGCACCCACACGAGAAACCCAGAAGAAGCTTGTGGCTCCTGCCTTTGGTCAGGCTCAGCGCTTGCCATTCTGGTCATCCGGGGGGTGAACCAGCAGATGAAAGATCTCTCTGTAACTCTGCCTTTCAAGTAAATAAAATAAAACTTTAAAAAAATGGAGAAAAAGGATCCTAAGACTTCTGAAAAGTTCCCCAAACCCCATAAAAATCATTGATTTTAAAACAACAGCTATTCATCTAATCTTTTCCCCTGAAACACACATGTTCCCAGAGACTCAAAGTTCTTCATCCACATCACAGTAAACATTTTAAAAACTCTGGTTGGATACTCTCTACCCTTAACATTTGCCACTTTCCCTGATTTCCTAAATTTGTTAGTTGCATGTGAAATATAGTGCATTCTCCTGTTTATAGTCAATTTCAAGATTCTAGGATAATTTCATACTAAGTTTGGTATTCTAATCATAGACTTTCAGAATGGAAAGACAGTAATATTTAGGTCAATTGCATTTTTAATAGACTTCTTAAGGAAGATATAACCAAGAAGAGCCGGCATTTTTCTGGTACCAATTTCTTTGCACTCACTTCTTCTGAAAGATTTCTTTGGCCTTGTTGAGGTCACCTGAACAAGCCACCAAGCTGTGCTGTCCCATTTTCCCAACTGCAAAGGAAACACCACACTTCACATGGTTTGTTGTCCTCTAGTCCCCGGTTCCCTAATCTTAATGAGCCAACTCTTGTAAGGTCTCTGCTTGCCATCTGACACACAGGCAGAAAAGGGAGAGGGCAAGACAAGATGGCTTAGGGACCTGATCACATTGATGTCACCTGCTCAGACATGGTCTATGAGCAGCACTAGAAGCTAACTCCAAGAGTTCTCGGGCTCAATAGCAGCTCTTAGCTTCTCCAGTGGGAACATCCCTTTGATTCTAGAAGCCCAGTTTGATCCCAAAACACTTCCCAGACCTCACCTCAAATCCTCCACCTACCCAATGTAGACCCACAGGAACTTTTGGTCATTCACTAAGTTGTTTCTGACTTTTGGAAAGACAGCTCCTAAAAATCAAGAGTAAAATCCTTACCTCGTCCCCATCTCATCCAAACACTGAAGTTCCTCTGGGCATCATCTTCTAATAGCTGAATCAGATAGTACTTGTTGTTGTTGAACTGGAGGTTGGTCTACGATGAGCAAGAGACAGAGAAACATGAAGCAATTTTCCAAATTGAGGCCACACAAGTCAATGACTCTTTCTTGATAATTTCCCTAAGGCGAAGGATAGATACAAAGGATAGTATTTATGTTAATCTTGGGATTCTTAGGGATTAAAGTGGCAACCTGGAACCTTCCTAAAACCCTCTACCTAACTTCAAACACCGGCATTAGATGGCTCCTGCTGTTTCTCTCCCTCAGCTCCTTCCATGGATTTCTTTCTATGTCACCCGTGTGTTCCAATTTCCACTTCATTCCCAGTGATTGCTTAGTAACTTCTTCCTCTTTGCTAACTCTACTTACAGTTTTGGTTTGTCTGTTGCACAAATTTATTGATGAGCTGGGAGCAAGACAATGTTTTAAGTCTTTGGGGAAAAGGAATTTGTAGAAACCAATGCCACAGCAGAGCAGGATCTTCAACCTGATCCAACTTGGAGACATTCAGAGTGAATATGACCAGGGCTAAAAATCTCTCCGTGAGAAGTCGCGTGGGGGAGGGGAGAGCAGAGAGCAGAGGCCACCGGAACGCGCAGCGGCCAGTACTGGAGGCCGAGCAGTGGCCAAGGCAACACCCCTTTCTCCCTTCACATTCACACTGTAAAGCCACTTTCTGTGAGAACAAAAAGGAGCTTTACATATTTTCTATCCACTCATGATATTTTAAATGGGAAAAATAGTAATAAGAGAGCTTTAGTTGTTTGTTAAAATTATATATATATATCTCAATATATCTAAACATGATATGACATGCGGGAAATATGTTTCTCAAGCAAATGCACATATTATCTATTGAAAGCCACAAAAACAAATAAAAAGATAAATTAAAAAGAAAACAGTAAGTTTAAGCATGTACAAATTTAAAATGTCAACATGGGCACAAAGTACGCTGTAAGGAAAAATCTAAAAGCAAATCAAACACAGAAACATACAAGCAATATGTTATATAGACAAAGCTTTTCTCCATTTTTATGAAATTTCTCAAAGCCAGTAACAAAGAGGAGAAATTAATAACCCATTAGAAAATATGCAAAATGATATAAAGAAGTCACAAGTTCAATGAAAGACATAAATTGCGCAATCATTGGCCTCTCACGTAGAGGTTACCTATCAGGCCGGGTGTGCTGGGCGGTAGCTCAGGGGTGTAACCTCTAACGGCTATCACACATACAATGGGCCTAATCAAAGAATTACAGATCTGGGCATTGAGATGCTATCAACAGCAACTCACAGGAAATGGAAATGCCCATCAACAAAACGGCCCCGCTTACCTGATTGAGCATGACGTCATAGACATCATTTCCTTCACTATACACGTGAGCCTGGAGAAGGAAAAAACAGCAGGAGTGCAGTGTCAGCCCTGATCAGGAGTGTGGTTCTAGATTTTCTTGTGCCTCAATGTGTTATTCTCCAAGGAATCTACCTTCCAGGAAAGGAAAGGTACATATAGAAGAGTACTTCAAAAGTTAGTGTGAGAGCCCAGCGGCGTGGCCTAGCAGCTAAAGTCTTTATGTTGAACGCACTGGGATCCTATATGGGCGCCAGTTCTAATCCCGGTAGCTCCATTTCCCATCCAGCTCCCTGCTTGTGGCCTGGGAAAGTAGTGGAGGACGGCCCAAAGGTTTGGGCCCCTGCTCCCGTGTGGGAGACCCAGGAGAGGTTCCTGGATCCTGGTTTCGGATCGGCATTACATCGGCTGTTGCACTCACTTGGGGAGTGAATCATCAGACCAAGGATCTTCCTCTCTGTCTCTCCTCCTCTCTGTCTATCTGACTTTCCAATAAATAAATAAATCTTAAAAAAAAAAAAGTTAGTGTGAAACAAAGCCAAAAAAACAAAAAATGTTTTTTTAAAAAGAGTTAATTTTGAAATGCATACATATGAAGGGTCTTCAAGCTTATAAAAAGTGTAAAGTGTAAAAAATATATATATATATGTATATATATGGTTATGTATATATATATATATGGTTTTCAAAAAAATTTTTGTGCCATAATAGATTTATTTTTAATTCTATTTTCCACAAAATTTTTAAGGTACCACTGTACATTCTATCCATAGCCTGTCATTCTTATAATGAAAACATGTTGTTTTTTCCAATATACAAATAAAAATTCTTACTCCCTTGCAAGCAATCTGTTCTAGAGATAGCCTTCCTGAATTCTTTAAGTTCTTTCTCCCTTCATAAGTAACTCACACCACTGCAGCGTTTCTCATTAGGACAGAGGACGGTTCTCCTTTAATATTGCTAGCTTCCATAACTAGGATACGAGCTACAGAAGGCTGGTGGCCACCCCCCCATGGAACTGTGTTAAAATACTGACATGATTAATCCCATACCACTCCTGTCCTCCCCCCGGGAGAAAGCTGAGCATGAGTCAAAGTTTGGTTTCTTACATGAATACTGGCAGCACTTGAAGACAAGATGCTACAGCAGAGTGCTGCTTTCTGAGAAACCTCTGGGCTGGGGACTGGTTCCAGTTCTTACCTTTCCCACCTTGGTTGTGCATTCTGGGTCCACGGGGGCCTTGCCCTTGATGAGCAAGGACTTCACAGAAACTGGGGAAAGACAGCAAGGAGACAGCTGTCACTGTCAGGCACAAACCTGCCAGAATTAACCCTGCCTTCCCTATACACTCCTGCTCTCCTGTTTTGGTTCTGAGCCACCCACAAATACGAAAATGAAAATTCAAGAAAGTAGATTTCTACTTTTTATTCATTTGCTGAGTTCTTCAGGAGAGCACTAAACCTTTGACTATTATGTAAATTTAAACATGTTATCTCAAAAAACATTAAAGAAATGGATGAGTCCTGTGGTACACACTGAGGATAGAGACACAAATTCTATCTCCAGAGAAGACATGACTGCTGAAGAGCAACTGATCCCAGCCCGCCAGCCCACTCGTCCCAGGGCCCCTTGCCTGCCCTCCCACCTTGCTCGTCTTCTGTCCCATCCTTATCAGCCTTTCCTCCAGACTCAGGTTCCTTCTTCACCTCCACTTTCTGGCATTTTCGAGTTTTCTTCGCAGGGGGAGGGTCCTCTGTGGCTGCATTGCCAGGGTTAACTTTCTTGGTTCCATTTAATGCTGCACAAGCTAAGAACAAGAACAGGGAACAAAAATCCTATGAGAATTAAGAAAGAAAAAACAAACCTTTTAAAGGAATCACGTAAAGATGGCTTTGTAAGTGCCCAGAATTTAGAAGCAACAGAAACCATTGTCACCCCAGGGTTCTAGATGACAATCCCAGTAGTGTTCCATAACTGCTGTTTTAGTGAAATAAAAGGACGCCCTAAGGCACCTTTCAGTTTATTGCTCAGCCCCAAGACTTACAGCTTACTCACTGCAGAGCCTACAAATACACACTCTCAATGAGTCAAGGCTGGCAGACTGCTGTAGGTACCCCACCCAGCTTAGGGCCCAGCTCTGCTTCCAGCTGGAGAGCCTTGGAGAGCTTATGTAATCTGCTTACTATTTTGTTTAAACTTTTTGTATTTTTCTTTTCCCTGATACAGTTCTGTACTTATAGGGACTTCCTTCTTGTTTCCTCCCCATTTACCCCAATATTACTACATAGCATAGTTCTTAAGTAACAGTTACTAGTTTAACATTTGTGGCACTGGAGGCATAGGCAAAGGCAGAAAACCAAGTATGTCATCTGCTTCTTTTATTTTTATTTCATAGCCTTCATTATTATTATTATTATCATTTTATGATACAGTTCCATAGGCCCTGGGATTTCCCACACCCCCTCCTAGACCCCCTCCCCAGTTCCCCTATGATATTATTATGCTATAGTTCTTCATAAACAGTCATATGTCCATCATTGCGGATATGCACAATGTGTGATCTGCTTCTAATCAAGTGCGACATCCAGAAGACGACAACAGTGCGGCCTGGAGCACGGAAGGACACAACAGGGATGGGTCAGGCTGGAGTTCCGCTTTCTGCCAACATGTCTGGGGCAGCCCAGGGCGCCCTGGGTTCCCTCCCAGGCCTGCGGAGGAAGATCCCCCGGTCTGCCCCTCGTAGCCCCATTACACAGAACACTCCAACAGCTCCAACACTCGTTCGTTGGCACCAAACGACGCGCCTTCCAGTTAGCTTTTTAAAATCGAGCTGAATGAGGCATTCGTGACTCGCCAGTGTGGCCACTACATTAGCTGTCACAGGTCCATACGCCTTTTTTTCTAAAAATCAAACGTGAAGAAATTTAGGAACTAAGCACGTTTGGCTGCCACGTGCAGATCGAGGGGGACAGGAGTCCAAGCAGCGAGCTCCGTTCCCTTCCCAAGGACTTTCCGCCCGCCGAACCCGGACTCCGCACCTCGCGCGCCGCTGCCAGGAGCCGCCTTGCGCCGCCGCGCCGCCATGGAGACCGGACGTCATCAGCCAGCTCCCGGGAACCGCAAGCGCGCGTTCGCGGAGACCGCGCCCACGTCTGCGCGCCTGCGCGCCCCTGCGCCGGGGCGGGAAGCGGTCAGCGAACTCATTGGCAACATATTAGCATGTCCCTGTGTATTGTGGGAAGCCACCATAAGGGAAAAGTGTCTTGAGTTTTTGGAGCTTTATAAAGGCTGATCGAGGTCAGCTTCCCCCATAGGGCGGAGGAAGCTCATCAGTGGGGCTACGAGCTGAGTGCGTCACGTCACTCCCTTGTCCCTTGGGAAGGTCTGAGACTAGGGCCAGCAGCGGCCCTAACAGGGCTCTCCCTGAGTCTCGGGGAGGTGAGTTCCCAGAGAACGGGGCTCCGTGCGAGGGCAGACTGGGCAGGAGATGCCGCGGTCCCTCTCCCGGAGGGCCCGGCGGATGCCTCCTTAGCCGGAGCTTGGAACAGACTCACGGCCAGCGAAGTGAGTTCAATGGCTGAGGTGAGGCACCTGCCTCGGGGCCTCATAACCCAATTCAGACTACTCTCCCCCGCCCGAATTTTGGAAACAAAAAAGTGAGTCCAGCTTTTCCTTCCTTTAAACATTTCTATTCTAGAATTGCAGTGAAAGTACGAACTAAACGAGGTACAGTGGATGAACGTATTGGAAAGTGAGACGTATACATTTGTCTTTTTCGTATAATACTTTGAATACTTATATTTGCATACATATTCAAGATGTATATGTATACACATTTTATACCTATTCTGTGTTTTATATCTTGATTGTGTTTTTAAGAATCATAATGAATATTGTGCCTGAGCATTCTCTACTTGTGATTCAAAATGCAATCCTAACTTTTTTATACTTAAGGAAACTGGGACTCAATTGTCCATAATCAGCAGGGCTCACATTCGAAGTCAGCTGAATTTTGCATCACCTTCTCGGCCTTTTCGCTAAGATGAAGTGACATCAACTGCATTTTATGTTAAAGGCTGAGCAGTTAACCAAGCCGATTTTATCCACCCAGCCCGTTTTCCTTGAAGATGACCCGGAAGGCACTTTTAGCTTGAATGGATCTGGCATCTTTATCAGGGAAGCTATTATCTTGTGTAAATTAACCACTAGGAGATCAGAAAGGTTAGGGATAAAGGGATTAAAATTCTTTGGAATGGAATGTAGTAGGCCCATCTAGGCAAGAGTTTATACAAATTGCTTAAATTAGCCTGTGTTTGCTCCTGCTAGTTCATTAACCCAGAAAAAAATTTGGTTTTTGAAGGTCAATGTAAAAACAGGATGGGAAGCATCAGTGGTCCTTGGAGCAGTGGGTAAAGGAGGCCGTTGCGTCATTTCAGTACCGTTTAAGGTAGAGGGGGAAAGGCAGCGTCCTTGGACTCGTTAGCCAATCGGCTTCCGAGCCACCTCTGAAGGCCCCTTCCTGCCTCGCTACTTTCTTTCCTGCGGTGTGGTGGGCTGGTGAGTACGCGCTTGGCTTGGCTTCACCCTGACCTGTCTTCCCTGTGAACCCCGGGGCCCAGGCTGCAGGCCTGGCTTTTCCAGCCAGCAACTGGCAGTCTCCGCTCGGTGTTGTGGAGGCTGTGGGGAAGGCATGACCTGCTGAGCCTGGTTTGTTTCCACGTGGGCCTCTGCAAGACTGACTTGGCCTGCCCTCCCGCAGACCTGGTGACCCGAGAACAATAGATGGCGCGTTCTGTGCAGAGTGCGTGTGTTCCTGGAAAAGCCCGGCGTGGCTTTGCTCGGAGGGAAAGGCAGCTGTGACCATCGCAGTGTTTTGTTTCTGTCTCCGAGTGAGGCTGCCCTTGGGAGACTGAATCCGGGCCAATGTGTTTTCATTTCACTGTTGAGTATCTTCAGGGACCCAGGTTCTTAGAGGGTTCGTGGAAGCTGCGTTGGATGTTGCGTTTCCCCTAGTTTTGCCCAAACCATTCTGTGCAGGAAAGACTGGAGATTTTAGTGAGCCTTAAAAGGGATTTCTAATTTTAATGCTGTAACTGTGGTGATTGTTCCTTAAAAAGCTTAAGATGTTCTGAAAAAAAAAAAAAAAAAAAAAAACAGGCTTTGCTCAAGCCTTGGTTTCAAATTCCAGCGCCACACTTTATGGCCTGGTGACCTTGGGAAAGGCAGCAAGCGTCTCCAATGTTCAGCTGCTAAAAAAACTGCACTAATCAACGTATGTTACATACCTTCTAGAAGTGGACTGTATTTGCAATAAATATTTTGGATGTCTGGTTTTAAAAGTTTTGCCTAGTGGCCTCAAGTATAATCTCAGTGAATACCTGTCTTTTTAATTGATTTGATGGTAATCCTTACAGAAAGTGTAGAAAAATTTCAGTTAATTGAGTATATTAGTAGGCCTCCCATAATTGCAACTCCTAAACATTAATATGGTTTTTTTGTAGATAATAACATTCACATGGCTCAGCATTCAAACAGACTCAACAGAAGCATGCTTTTGTTTGGAAGTAAAGTTGGGGGGCTGGTATTGTAGTGGGTAAAGCTGCCAGCAGTGCTGGCCTCCCACGTGGGGACTGTTTCTTTGTGCTTCCAATCCAGCTGCATGCTAATGGCCTGGGAAAAGCAGAGGGAAATGGCCCAAGCATTAGGACCCTGTCACCCACGTGAGAAATTTGGATGGACACTTCTGGCTCATGGTTTCTGGCTGATTCTGCCTTAGGACTTAGGCAGGCAGTTCTGGATCAAGCCGCACTTCCCCAGCCTACGTAATCCTTTCTGTGAGTCCAATGATCTATCCTGCTTGCAGCCTGAGGGGGAGGGCGGTTTTGCATGACCACTCCCCTTTCAAGCCCTTAAAAGTCCCCACCCAGGAGGGACTTGTTCTCTGAGCTCCCACGTGCTTGCTGGCTCTCCTGCTGACTCCAGGACAGAAGGTAACAGACCTTACCACATTCTTAACCTGTGCCTGTGCTTAAAATGCTTCTTAGGTAACAGGCAAGAACCTAACAAGTAAATATTAGGTCTTAGCTTAAATACAGAGGGTGGGCAAGTGAATGGAAGATCTCTTTCCTTCTGTGATTCTTTCAAATATGTACTAGAATACGTTTCTGAAAAATAAATTTAGAGTACATTAGGGTGAGTGAAAGAAGGGAAAGCATGTATTTTTTTTAAGAATTTTTTTTTTTTAAGATTGTTTTGTATTGCAAAGTCAGATATACAGAGGAGGAGAGGCATAGAGGAGGATCTTCTGTCCATTGATTTACTCCCCAGGTCTCCGCTGAGCCAAATCGAAGCCAGGAGCTTCCTGGTCTCCCATGCCAGTGCAGGGTCCCAAGGCTTTGGGCTGTCCTCAACTGCTTTCCCAGGTCACAGCAGGGTTCTGGATGGGAAGTGGAGCTTCCAGGATATGAAAAGGTGCCCGTATGGGATCCTGGTACATGCAAGATGAGGACTTTAGCCACTGGCTAGGCTATCTTGCTGGGCCCTTTCTAATACCTTTTAAGGATTGATGTGTCCACTGTTTTACTTGAAATGCAAAGAGAGGGAGAGAGAGTACAGGGACAGGTAGGGATCAGCTACCTGCTGGTTTACTCCCCAGTTGCCAGCCATATCTGGGGCTCAGCTTGGCCCAGGCCAGCTCTCCCACTTGTGTGGTAGGGAACCAGTTACTTAAGCCATCTCCACTGTCTTCCAAGCCATGTGCTGGCAGCTGGTAAGCAGAGGTGGCACTCAAACTGGCACCCAGGGGGATGCAAAGTGGCATCTTAGCCACTGAGCCAAACATTGGTCCCTTAGTTTTTTCTTTTTGTTTTTTTTTTTTTGATAGTTTTACTTAGTTACTTAAGGTACAAAGGGTCAAGGGCTACAGGAAAGTGGGTAAAACCATTGTTTTCACACTAATATTTTTTTCCCTGTATCTGGGGTCAGGGGAAAAATAAAGGGAAAAGCCCTACCCAGCCTCCCTCCCATCCCAGGTCCCTGATGTGAGGCATGCTCCAAGGGTCCTGCTCAGTTTTGATAGTTCTGAATTGACAGTTCTGAATTTGACAGTTCTGAATTGCTGCCAATCTCGCCGTTCCAAGCGCGATGAAATCTCTTCAGAATCTACTGGCTGACATAGTCTCTTCATGGTTGGGGTAGTTTTTTTTTTTTTTTGTAAGATTTATTTTATCTGAGACAGAGGATCCATCTGCTAGGTTTTTTTTTTTTAAGATTTATTTATTATTATTGGAAAGGCAGATGTATAGAGAGGAGGAGAGACAGAGAGGAAGATCTTCCATCTGATGGTTCACTCCCCAAGCGGCCGCAATGGCTGGTGCTGAGCCGATCTGAAGCCAAGGGCCAGGAACTTCCTCCAGGTCTCCCACGCAGGTGCAGTGTCCCAAGGCATTGTCTGCCCTCGGCTGCTTTTCCAGGCCATAAGCAGGGAGCTGGATGGGAAGTGGAGCTGTTGGAATTAGAACTGGCGCCCGTTCAAGGCGAGCATCTTAACCATTATGCTATTGCGCCAGGTCCCATTTGCTAGTTTATTCTCCAATGGCCCAACAAAGCGGGGCACATATGAAGCCAGGAGCCTGAACCTTCTGGGTCTCCCATTTGGGTGCAGGGATCCCAGTATTTGAACCATCTTTTCATTAGCATGGTGACTTAGACATGGAGCACCCGTATGGGATGCTGGCACCACAGGTAGAGGTTTTATATATGCTTGATATGTTATGCTACCATGCCAGCTCCTCAGCTGTGAAGTGGGCTTGTTTGAAGGAATGGGCTGAGTTTAGGCTGTGCTGAATGGATAGCCCAAGTTTCTGACCTTCCTGCATTTACTTCTTGCATGTGTTTTTATTGGGTTTTTCCTGTCCTAAGAGGTGAAGACAGTCTTGGCTAAAACACCTGTCAGTGTGGGAATTGAAATTTGGACTCTGTTCTGCAAATAATATCCTGCAGAATTATTTCTAGATGCCGGAGTCCAGGTCCAGCCAAATTCAGAACTCGTGGAGTAGGAGCAGAAAAGGAGTGGACCACTACGATTTCATGGTCATAATGGACAATGCAAGAAAGCCTCACAAGCTTTGGCACAGACTTTTGACATGGTCAAGTGGGTGTAGCCAAGAATAATTCTGCCATTTGTTTGACCTAAAAACTCAATAGAAGTTCCTACTACGATTCTACAACTCAATTTTGTACCACAAAGAAATGAGAACCTAAAGATCAAGGAAAGAATGAAACCCTAAACAGATGCCTTCATTAGCTGTAAGGTCAATGGGGACAGCCAAGATAGCATGAATAATAAAAGGGCTTTGGGCAAGCTGTTGTTATTATTTACATTAACCTCCAAGCTCACATTGATAGTAAGAAGCCAACTCCATAGCAGCAAACAATGCCTGAATGGATTACAGAATTCTTGCACAGGGTGGTCTGTTGTCCATGCAAAGGAAGGCGGAGCTGCATTCAGGTGCCTGTAGAGACATCCACTGGGCCCTGCCATGCAGCGAGAAATTCCTTGCAGCCCTGCCTGCAATGGAACAGTACTCTTCACACCTTCACGTCCCCCACATCCACTATACTGGCCCCAGCATGTAGAGGAAAACTATGCCAAATGATCATGTTAGAATTTTTTTGTGCAAGGTTCTGTATTTTCCTTTTGTTTCAGGGTCAAGATGAAATCTACTGAGGAGGAAAGTGGAGGTTGTCAGCATCCTATGCACCTGCCCAGATGTTACCCCATGAAAGCCTTCACAGCATCTCCAGACTTGCTGCACTGTCAAGAGGAAGGGCTAGTGGGAAATAGACCCAAGACAGGTATGTGAATTTTGACCAAGATAGGATCTTAGGATCTTTGCATTACTCCTGTGTGCTTTTTCTGTTTAAAAAGATTTGAGGGGTTTTTTTTTTTTTAGTTATTATATCCTGTATTGCTAGGCACAGAATAGTTTGGGATGGAAGTGGATAAAATGGGCTGATCATACAGTTTTAAGGTGAAAGCATTTGATTTAGTATAAAAATTTGTAGTTTCTGGACCCGGCACAGGAGCCTCGTGGCTAAAGTTATTGCCTTGTTCATGCTGGGATACCATATGGATGCTTATTTGTTTCCTGGCTGCTCCAGGACTACCCAAAGCCATGGGAGACCTGGTGGAGGCTCCTGGCTTCGGATCAGTTTGGATCAGCTCAGCTTTGCCCATTGTGGCCATTTGGGGAGTGAATCAGTAGATGGAAGATCTTCCCTCTCTGTAATTCTGACTTTCCAATAAAGATAAATAAAATTTATTTTAAAAATTAACAAATTTATAAACATTTACAAATAAAATATAAAAAATAAGTAAAACATTTATTTAAAAAATTTGTAGTTTGTATATTCCTGCAGGAATTACTTCTCCTTTCATGTACAGCATAGCTTTCACCCATGAACTTCAGTGCTTTGCATTCCTAGGGCCTAGAGTAAGCAAAACGAGCAGAGCAGTTACAAAATACTCGGTATGGAATGACTCGAGTGTAAGGGTGATGCCAGCAGAAGTATGACTGCAATCCTGCCAGCAGCATCACACATTGAGAGGCCTCATGTATTTACCATCAGAATTTCTGTGCTCAGCTGTGTGTGTTTACATTCTAGGTTCTGTGAGATAGGTAGAAAAGTAGTTATCCTGTTATACTCAGTCCTGTGACAAGTACTCGAGTCTAGGGGTTTTGAGGTAGGCATTGACAAAATTGTACAAGCTACTGACACCGTGTCTTGTTTCTTGTCCATGGTAATAGACATATGTGCTAGACGTTATGTCTGGGTTAAACTTGCATGCAGCTGATCTGAAAACAGTTTTCAGGTTGAAGTGTTCCACCATGGACAAGGAAGGAGTTCAATAATTAGATTGTATTTGAGGTCCTTAAGACATCTCGGCTTTGCCTGCTGTGCTACTCGGTTCAGTGGCGTTGCTAATGGGCGTAAGAAAAAGAACCCAGGCTGGAATATGTAGGAGTGATGTGTACAGTTTGCTTTCTGTGCCCCTTGCATGAGGACATCAGGGGTGAATCTTGACATGGTCCCTGTTGTAGCAGTGTGTGTGTGACAATTCAGTTTCAGTGTTCAATAGTTTTTCTATCAACCAACCCTACTTACTGGGCATGCGACTTTAAGGCACACTTAAGACCCACTTGTTTTTCTCATGAAGTCTTGGCCAGTGATCATCCTTTCTTTAATCTTGATCTCTGCCACTTGTTTGCTTATTATCACTATTGTGCCACTTTGTGTACAGGAGTCTTTCTGATGAAATTGTCTGGAATTTTTATCTCCACACTGCTGTATGAAAAGGTGCATAATAGTAATATTTTTAGCTTAAGTTTATGATCATTATGTAATAAATTATAGATGATGCCTAGAGAAAGAATAGAAAATGAAGCTTGCCTATAGGGGTGGTTGCATGCTCCATGTGTTTCATCTTAGAGTTCAGATTCTATTCAAGCGCTTAAGAGGAAATTAAAGGCTCTTACATTGCCATCTTGTGGTGGGTTTGGGTTCCAAATGAAGGTTATAATTTTCTCATGTCAAGGGCAGTTTTTCCAGTTTATTGTCACTAGAAAAATGAAAGATTGCCAAGATTATAAATACAACCGGCATTGATTCAAATGAACTGGAAATACATTTTGTAAAAATATAATTATTTTATATTGCCTTTTCATTTGTCTGAATCATGGGGAGTTTTGGATTTTTGCAAGCTTTTAAACTTAAAGACCTTTAGAAGATGATTAGATTTAGTGTGCATTTTTTTTAAAAATCCAGATCTTAGGTTTATACAGAGTTGACCGTGATAGTTTTGTGATTTTTATTTAAAAAATTAAAAAATATTTGTAAAATTTACTTATTTTTCTTGCAAAGTAAGATACACAGAGAGGAGGAGAGACACAAAGGATCTTCCATCTGATGATTCACTCCCCAAGTGACCACAACGGCCAGAGCTGTGCTGATCCAAAGCCGGGAACCAGGAACCTCTTCCAGGTATCCCACTTGGGTGCAGGGTCCCAAGGCTTTGGGTGGTCCTCGACTGCTTTCCCAGGCCACAAGCAGGGAGCTGGAAGGGAAGTGGAGCTGCTGGGATTAGACTCAGGGCCCCTATGGGATCCTGGTGCGTTCAAGGTGAGGACTTTAGCTGCTAGGCCATGCAATAGGCCCCAAAAATTTTTTTAAAAATCTATTACTGCATGAGGATTTGGGCAGAGAATCAGTAGTTCCCTGTTTTTTCTTGTGACTTAATTTGAGCATGCCCGCCGAGTTGTCATCATCCTAACCATTGTATTTGCTTCCAGAGATGTTAACTGGGTGGTTCATTGATCCTACACTTCACCTTGATACCTAGATAGAAGCTGGATTCATCTGAAACCAGAGGTAAGTGTAACAACATCTTCATTTTTACCTTGCAAGATTTAAGTGGCTGAACGTTGGTAGTTGAAAAGGTCAGAGCTAAGGGGGATGGGAGGCATCGGTGGTTTGCCCTTCACCAGTCACGCACAGTTTGCCATGATGAGATGCATGTTCAGTCCGTGTTTCAGCTGATGACCCTGATTAAACACATGCTCTGAGCAGACTAAAGGCAGGGGCAAACACTTGGAGTGTTTCCTGGGAGTCTTGCGTTTTAGATGCCAACATTTTTTTGTGCTTCAGTCTTTCTGGACATTTCATCTCTGAAATAGAATGAGAGTGAAGAATTCATCTAAAAATTCAAGAACTATAGGAAAAACACAGCCAATCAATCTATTCACATCTACGCAACCAGAGAGGCTATTTTAAACTAATATCTTGCGTGTTTGTGTGTGTGTGTGATTAGAATTGCAGAGATGGTTAAAACAATTATAGGATGTTATAATGCAACATTAAATGAATAATATTCATGATACATTAACTTAAGAGATTTTGTTTGTGAGCCCAGTGTGATGGCTAAATCCTCACCTTGCATGTGATGGAATTTCATGTGTATGCTGGTTCGTGTCCGGTTGTTCTGCTTCCCATCTAGCTCCCTGCTTGTGGCCTGGGAAAGCAGTTGAGGATGACCCAAAGCTGTGGGAGATCTGGAAGAATCTCCTAGCTCCTGGCATCAATTCAGCTCAGCTCCAGCTGTTGCAACTGCTTGGGGAGTGAACCAGCAGATGGAAGATTTATTTACATGTTTGAAGGAGTGACTGAGGGAGAAGACAGATCTTGCAGCTGCTGGTTTACTCCTCAAATGTCCAAGCTGAACCAGGAGACCAGGATTCTGGAGCTGTTTGCAGATCTCCAGAGTGGGTGTGTATCTAAGTACTTGGGCCAGCCTCTGATGCTTTCCCAGGAGTGTTGGCTGGGAGGTGAATTGGAAGCAGAGTAGCCAGGAACTTGACCTTAAAATTTGATAATGGGATCCTGGCATTCCCAAGTGGTAGCTTAACCAACTGTGCCTGTGGCATTATTGCCTGCCTCTCTGGAAAACTATTTTTATATGCCTATGTTTGCTTGAGAGACACATGTGCATAATGAAATGATAGTGGCTATTTTTAGAATTTGTTTCTATATTTTTGTTAACATTTTTGCTTAAAATTTTATTTATTTGAAAGGCTGAGTTAACAGGAGAGGAATAGAGAGCAGGTTCAAGACAAATGGCTGCAACAGCCAGGAACTAGGAGCTTTTTCCAGGTCTAGGAGTTCAAGCATCTGGACCATCCTCCTGCTTCCCTAGGCTTGCTAGCAGGGACTTGGATCGCAAGTGGAGCAGCCAGGACATGAACTGGCAACCATATATGGTGTGCTGGTGTCACAGGATGCCATCCTTGACACAGGTGTCACCATGCCACAGCACCACACCACCAGCTGCAAACTGTATTTTCTGATTTTGCTACATTTATGTGCTATTTTTAAAAACTATTTTACACAACGTGGACAGTCTTGTACTCATTGTTTGTGTCTGCATTTTCAGCAGGGAATGAGGTGGATAGATGGGAGAGTTAAAAAATACAAGAAAAGCAAATAATGCAAAGTAATGTCAGCACTTGAAATGCTTTTTTAAAAGCTTTTGGTTATCTTTTGTAGAAGTGAAATTTGAAGAGACCAGAACCACCTATGAGTTTTGCCTTACCAATCTGGACCTCTTCCCTCCTGCAAAGCCTGGATTTACGATCGGTGATGAGTGCACTTTGTTTCCTGGTAAGCTTCTGTTGAGACTGAGAAACCTTTTGAAGATGTTGAGGTAGTAATGGTAGTAAAGGATATTCTAGACAAGATCTCAACTGGGCTCAAACCTATGTACTGCTTAATCAGTTATATACCTAGTTAGAAAATGAGGGCAACGGTGCTCAAAGTTTAGTTACTTTATGATTAAATCTGATAAATGGGGCTTACCATGTTGTAATACACATGGCAGATGCTGAATACGTAATTAGGTGTTTTATCTGATTGTATTTATTTTAGACTTTGTATTACCTGGCAGTTTCTGGCATTTATAATTCTGGCATTTATAATTTATAGCTGCTGTCTTTCCCAGTTGACCTACCCCTCATTACTTTAATCTCTGGCATCCCTGAAGCTAATTTAGTTATTGAGTTATGGTAACAGGGCTATTGTGTGTATCTTTTTTTTAATTTTTTATTAAAGATTTATTTTATTTATTTTTTTTTTTATTGGAAAGGCGGATGTACAGAGAGGAGAGACAGAGAGGAAGATCTTCCATCTGATGATTCACTCCCCAAGTGAGCGCAACGGGCGATGCTATCCCAATCCGAAGCCAGGAGCCAGGAACTTGTTCTGGTATCCCACACGGGTGCAGGGTCCCAAAGCTTTGGGCCGTCCTCAACTGCTTTCCCGGGCCACAGGCAGGGAGCTAGATGGGAAGCGGGGCTGCCGGGATAGAACTGGCGCCCATATGGGATCCCGGGTGTGCAAGGTGAGGACCTTAACCACTTGCGCCACCGCGCTGGGCCCCTATTGTGTGTATCTTTATGTAATTATCTTGGTTTGGGTACTATTTTGTTTGTCATTTGTTTAGCTGGGTCAGTTCATCCTTACCGATTTTGTTCTTTGCTATTTTTGTGTGTATGTGTTTCTTAATAGGATTGGGGGCAGCCCTGATGGCCGTTCCTCTCGCTGCTGGAAGCCTTGGGCAGTGGGATTTTGGTCCATCACACAGCAATGCTGGCTTGTCTTCACTCGGGGCACCATGGGATGGGTTGGCTGTCCGTTAGTGCCTTCTGATTTTTGCGGAGTCAAACAATTACACTTAAGTAGTGATTCTAGATTAAGAAATGTAATAATGATTTTTAAAAAATTGCGAGCCATGGGGATACGTCTTATAGAGAACACTTTCTGTACTACGAAAGAGCTGTAGGTGATTCTGGATGTTGCTGAAACATACTCTGAAGTTATTCATGTTGAAATTTTAAATAGTTTGTTCAGTTTTCTACAGGGGCTTACACAGTTTTGAAACATGTTAGTGTGAAGGTTCTTCAAATGCATTTGAAGATTCTTCAAATGAAAGATGGACACTAACATCTTACCAGAAATGGCTTTATAGAATGAACTTGGAAAAATGTAAGAGGCAACCAAAAACAGTAAATTTTATTTTTTTACCTTGGACTTAACCTTGATGTAAAGTGTATATATACCGATGATAGACTATGTGACTACCCTTGCGTTCGTCTGATTATGATGCTCAACCCTTTTAAAGGGAAGGCAGAATTTGAGGAGTAGATACACACAAAAGCTTCCCAGTAGGGCTGGCATTGCGGGGCAGCAGGTTAAGCCAATGCTTGACATGTCCCTTTTCAGAGTGCCAGCTGGAGTCCCAGGTGCTCTGCCTCTGGTCCAGCTTCCTGCTGATGCGCTTGGGAGGCAGCAATCACTTGTAACTGCTGGCTTGTGGCCTTAGCTTGGCCTGTAACTGCTTGCTGTGGTTATCTGGGGGAGCGAGTCAGTGAATGGAAGATCTCTATTTAAAATAAAGGAATGAACGTTTCAAAAGCACAAGGTACTGGTATCTAATACTCTCAGTGGGTGAGGCTTGCAAAGGCAGAGTGGGGAACTCAGTCCGGTCTCCTACATGGGAGGCCAGCACCCAGTTCCAACCATCCCTGCTGCCTCCCATGGTGCATGGTAGCAGGAGGCTGGCCTTGGCAGTGGAGCCAGAACTTGAACCCTGCCAGCCTGATACTGGGTGTGGGTGTCCCACGCAGTGTTTCACGCTGACCCAGAAGCACCCTGGCAGCTTCATTTTTAATTTATAACAGGTCTCAATAGATTACACAGTTATAGGAAGCAAAGAAAAGCAAAGTGTGGCAGATAGCGTTAGTGTGAAATAGTGTGTGCAATTCCCGGGGCCTCACTAGGTGGATGCAAGGGAAAGACCCAGACGTACTGCACATGATGCTCACTGCTGTCCGTTGTAGGCGTCTCAGCATTTTTGATCCCGTGCCTCCCTCCTGGCCTGTGCCTTGAGCGCCAGAACTCCCTAGCTCCCTTAGGACAAGTACCTTCTAGCACCCAAAGTATGCTGCCTTGTCTCCCCTCTCAGTGAAGAAGGCTAGCGCCTTAAAAGATGCACGCAAAGAAAGGGTACTGTGCCTTTTGAGGGCGTTGAGGGCACCTGCTGGCCTTTGAGCAGGGACACCTATGGCGGCTGAGACGACCCCGCCCCCACTACCCGTCAGGCCACTGGGCCACTCCGCACATGCGCTCTGGGTGGTCAGTGTTGACGCATGCGCGACTCAAGGGCGTCGTGGCGGCAACGGCGTTTTCCCGCGCTTTTTTTGCTCTTCAGGTTAAGTATTCTGTTTGTGTATTTGTTCTTTTTGTTCTCTGTCTAGAACGGAGGACGGGCCGAAAATTCTAGCGTGTGATAGTCTGTGGGTTTACGTCTCTAGAATTTTTCCTCAGCCAGGCAGCTGGAATCTACTCCTCAATCCTGTGGAAAATTTGGAACTGGTTATAGCTTTGTCTGACAGGAGCCTCAGATTTAAAATTTTTCAGCTTTTGTGCCTTCCCAATGTCCTTTTTAATTTACGCTGCCTGTCAGGGCTTGCCTGTGGAGGCTGACTTTGGGGGTGAAGGTGTCAGCGTCGGCATCCCCTAGGATCCAGGCGGCGTCCCTGACACTGTTAAATGCCAATGCTTTTTGTTGATGATTTATTTCTGGTGTGTTTAGAATATTGTTATCTATTTGTTCAGTAGAACTCTGGGAAAAAGTTGAACCCATTTGGAAACCTTATGCTGCTTTTAGGTGATATTTTCACAAATGTTTTGGGTAGAATCAGCATTGGAGTAAGACAAATTAAATGAACATCCAAGTTTTGTGCATATTTTTAGGTGTCATGATAGGTTTACTTGGGTAAACTAGGTTTCCATTAAATGTTAGTAGCTTGCTGCTGTTTTTTAGCAGGGGCAAAATGGGTGAAGATTCAGAACAGTATGTATAAAGACAAATTTTAAATGCATGAAAAAAAGGTTGAAGTACATAATGTGGAGTTTTAGGTTTAAGCGTGGGATATGACACTAAAATAGTTAGCAAAGAATGGGTGATACATTGGGCATTTGTTTAAAATTTTTAAAGATTTTTTTTTCATTGGAAAGGAAAGACAAAAGATCTTCCATTTGCTAGTTTACTTCCCAGAAGTCACAACAGCCGAGCTGAGCTCATCAAAGCCCTTTGGGTCCTCCCTGCAAGGCTGCAGGGTCTCAAGGACTTGGGCCATAAACCGCTGCTAAGTGGGAATTGGAGCAGCTGGGACACAAACTGGTATCCCTGTGGGATCCCAGGGCTTGGAGGTATAGGATTAGCCAGAACCATGAAACCAGCCCCAAGATGTTATTACAGAAAGAAAAAAGCATTTTTAAAATTTTTTTTTGTGGAGTGTTAATGTTCTTAAACATTTTTCCAAGGATGTATTATTTCTGGCCTTAATAAGATTAGGAACTAAAAAAAAAGATTAGGGACTGGGCCTGGCGTGATAGCTTCAAGACTAAATCCTTGCCTCGTGTGCGCCAGCAATCCTATATGGGTGCTGGTTCTAATCCCAGCAGCTCCACTTCTCATCCAGCTCCCTGCTTGTGGCCCAGGAAAGCAGTAAATAGCCCAAAGCCTTGGGACCCTGCCCCCGTATGGGAGGTTTCTGGCTACTGGCTTGGAAGATCTTTCTCTGTATCTGTTTCTCTTTGAATATCTGCCTTTCTGATAAAAATTATAAGTCTTAAAAAAAAAAAGAGTAACGAGTCATAAGTTTGTGTCCTGGGAAAAAAATAAGCAAATCTTCAAAAAAGGTTTGGAACCAACTATGTCTCTAATGTTTTCCTTACTTTTTTCATGAGCTTTGCATAGAGAGGATGCACAATTAGTATTTTTGAGAAATTGAAATCAGTATAATGTATTGATTATAGTAACTGCATTTACCATAGCAAAACAAAAACATGCAGATTTTATTTGTTATTTAATTTTCATTTATCTCTTTTTAGGACTCTTCAGAACTTGGAGAATTCCTATCCTACTATGTCTTTGTGTGAAGATATGTTGCTGTGTAATTATCGCAAGTGTCGCATTAAACTCTCAGGTTATGCATGGGTCACGGCCTGTTCTCACATCTTCTGTGACCAGCATGGCAGTGGAGAATTTAGTCGCTCACCAGCTATCTGTCCTGCCTGTAACAGTACCCTTTCTGGGAAGCTAGATATTGTCCGCACGGAGCTCAGTCCCTCAGAGGAATACAAGGCTATGGTGCTGGCAGGACTACGACCAGAGATTGTGTTGGACATTAGTTCCCGTGCACTGGCGTTCTGGACATACCAGGTTAGCACTTTTATATTAACTTATTGTCTACTAAGGTTGAATTCCTGAAAGTGGATAAATATCTTGTAAAGTTTTTTTTTTTTTAATTAATTAGGCAGAATTACAGAGAAACACAAATGTCCCATCCATTCATTCACTCCCCAGAGGCCTGACGGCTGGAGCTGGGCCAGTCAGAAGGCAGAAGTCGGGAGTTTGTAGCTCTGTCCGGTCTTCCACATAGGTGCCTGGCCTGTGCACAAAGGGTCATCTCACTGCCTTTGCACGTGCATCAGCAGGGAGCTGGGTCACAAGTAGAGAAGCTGAAACTTCAGTTGGCACTGTGCTGTGGAATGTAGGCATTGCAAATGGTAGTTTGACCCCCTATGCCACAAGCCTGCCCTGGTAATATACTCTTGAAGCAACATCACCTTTGGTGTGTTCTAGTCCTAGGACTTCCCCATACTGAAGAGGAGGTGTTTACGCACAGTGCATGTGACAAGGAGAGGATATTGTATTCTGCTTAATTTGGTTCTAAATGTTAAACTGATATTACCCTTATCTAAGCATCTTTAATTTCGTTTTGTGTTTGCATAATGTGTTGTGTATAACTTTGTACTCAGTATTCTAAAAATCTTCTTGGCAGGTACATCAGGAGCGTCTCTATCAGGAATACAATTTCAGCAAGGCTGAGGGCCATCTGAAACAGATGGAGAAGATATATACCCAACAAATACAGAGCAAGGATGTAGAATTGACCTCTATGAAAGGGGAGGTCACCTCCATGAAGAAAGTGCTGGAAGAATACAAGAAAAAGTTCAGTGACATCTCAGAGAAACTGATGGAACGCAATCGCCAGTATCAGAAGCTCCAAGGCCTCTATGATAGCCTCAGGTTACGAAATATCACTATTGCTAACCAAGAAAGCACTCTGGAACCATCCATGATTGCACAGCCTGGCATTTTTGGCTTCCCATTAGGTAAGACGGGGCATGTAAGATCCCGTCTAGTTCTTATTTTTATTGTTCTTTAAAGAACATTTTATTTTTATTTGAAAGGACCCAGAAAGAGAGGGTGGGCCATCTAGCGTAGGAGGAAGACAGGTTTTCCATATACTCCCTAAATGCTGTGATAGTCGGGTTTGAGCCAATCTGAAGCCAGGCAGAGACACTTAGCCCTCTTCTGCTGCCTTCCCAGGAGTGTTATCAGGAAGCTGGCTTTGCAGCACAGCAGCCTTGAACTGGCACTCCAGTAAGGGACATTGGCAAGTGGCAGCTTAACATGACATAGTAGTACTAGTCCCTCCTTGAAATTTTTTTTCTCCATGTAATTTTTTGAAGTATTCTTGTGTGTTTGTGCATATATATGTAAAATATATATAGATATATGAATTTATGTATATATATAAAACGGTTCCTCTAGAGTAATCTGCAAAATAATAAAATCATAATTTTTTTAAAGATGTGTATTTTCATTTGAAGTAATCAGTTTCAGAAAGAGCTCTTCCGTATATATTTGGTTCATTCCTCAATGGCTGCAATGGCTGGGGTGGGGTTAAGCTGAGGCTAGGAGCCACAAGCTTCTTCCAAATGTCCTACATGGGTGTGGGGGTTCCTTTCCTGATTTTTCCCAGGCACATTAGCAACTGGGACTCAAACCAGTGCTCTTATGGTATGTTAGTGTTGTGGGCAGTGGCTTAACGCACTGTACCACAACTCTAGTCCTTTGTGTTTTAATTTAAAGATTTTTTTATTTTTACTAGGAAATCATATTTACAGAAAGGAGAGATAGAGGGAAAGATCTTCCATCTGCTGGTTCACCCCTCAGGCAGCTGCATCAGCTGGAGCTAAACCGATCAGAAGCCAGGAGCTTCTTTTGGGTCTCCCTTATGGGTGCAGGGTCTCAAGGCTTTGCAGCGTCCTCCACTATCTCCTAGGCCAAAAGCAGGGAGCTGGATGGGAAGTGTTGCAGCCAGGATACAAACCGGTGCCCATATGGCATCCCTGGTGAACGCAAGGCGAGGATTTTGGCCAGTGGACTACAGTGCCAGGCTCTTTGTGTTTTACGTTTTAGCTCTAATGAAAATGTATTTCTTTTCTGAGCTTTGTTTTGGTGGTGAGGTAATGACTCATTGAAAATGGTAAGAGAAGGTATGTTGTGGTCAGGTGAAGGAGTGGGAGATACTCATGTCTTTGTTAGGCAGTAGTAGGTCTGTAGTTTGTACATTGTATAGCAGTTGAGTTCTTTCAGAGTACATATTGAATAACTTTTTCTTTTTGATGATTTATGAGGAAATAGTTGCTAAAATTCTTATTTTTTTTCCCCTAGGGAATAACTCCAAATTTCCTGTGGAGAATACGCCAGGTCGAAATCAGGGTGGTGGGGATGGAGATTTTCACTTCCGACCATTCTTCGTGGGTTCTCCCACAGCACAAGAACCCAGCAACAGCTTTTTTAATTTCAACTCTCCAAACCATGAGTTAGAGCAGCAGCAGATCTCCAGTAGGGCCTTCAAAGTGAAAAGAATTTAGATTACTTCATGGAATGCCTCCCTGTTCACTTTCAGTGGTATTGGTCAGTAAATTGTCCTTATTCTAGACAGGGAGTCAGCAGTCTTCCTGCGCTATTAAGTCTTTGAAGTTGTCTTTGCATTTCCAATGTGTGAGAAACTACCTGTGGGAAATGCTTTAGAGTCTGTTTGCTTTATTTCCTTGTGAACTATTGTGTTTTTTCACTGTTGATGACAGGACATTATTATTTTTTTTCACTGTTAACTGAATTGTGGCTTTAAATGAATATAGGCATTTGTGTTCTACTTATCACTTTGGATCCTATTCTTTACAGTTGTGAATGTGTGATAGTGTTCATTTATATCAATATTTTGTGGTATTTACCAATATATTCATTTGAAAATTTTGTTCTCAGAAAATGGTGGATTACATATTAATTTATATATATACATATCTGTGCCTTCAGTAATTGGCACTCATGTACTCATGTCAGTGAATGAGAGTATAATTTGATGCTTTTATGTTCAGTCCCTATTTGCATTTGAAATAATTCACATTGATAATGCTAATTTGTAAGGTTGATTTTTTTTTTCTTTACAATTGTTTTTATTCATTTATTTGCAGTTCTTTTTAAATAAAATTGTTTATGTCAGCTCTTGTTTGGATTTTCTTATTTAGGTATATACTTTTGTTATAGAAAACTTAACCAATATATTTTTGATTCTAAGATAATGTTACTAAAAGCTTTATTCCTTGTTTTTCTCCATTATCTTCCGTCCGTTGATTCACTCCCCGGGGGCTGCAACAGCCAGAGCTGAGCCAATCCAATTCCAGAAGCCTGGAATTGCTTCTGGGTCTCCCACGTGGATGCAGGGTACCAAAGGCTTGGACCATCCTCAGTTGCTTTCCCAGGCCACAGGCATGGGCCTGTTTTTTTGTTAGGGTCACAGAGTGAGCTTCAAGTACAAATAAGTTAAACTAAAAAGTGGTGCATTGTGGTGCATAGGGTTGAGCTACCTTCTGGGACACCTGCATCCTTATGAGCACTGTTTGAGTCCTGCTCCCTGCTGAAACATGCCTGGGAACGTAGCAGAGAATGGCCAAGTATTGGGCCAGTACAACCATGTAGGAAACTCAGATGGAGTTCAGGTTTTGGGTTGACCCAGCCTTTCCCATTGTGGCCATTTGGGGAGTGAATTAGCAAGTGGAAGATCTTTCTGTCTCCTTATCTCTGTAACTGCTTTTCCAATAAAAATAAAGAAAAATCCAACTAACAAACACTAAGAATTATAGACACTAGGGCCTGGCATGGTGGCCTAGCAGCTGAAGTCCTCACCTTGAATGTGCCAGGATCCCATTTGGGCACCAATTCTAATCCCAGCATCACCACTTCCCACCCAGCTCCCTGCTTGTGGCCTGGGAAAGCAATTGAGGAAGGCCCAAAGCCTTGGCACCCTGCACATGTGTGGGAGACCTGGAAGAAGTTCTTGGCTCCTGGCTTTGGATCGACACAGCACCAGCCATTGTCACTTGGGGAGTAAACCATTGGACAGAAGATCTTCCTCTGTCCTCTATATCTGCTTTTGCAATAAAAAATTTTTAAACTTTTTCCATTTTTTAAATGACATTACATAGTTAATTAGGGTAAAAAGGTTCAAGGGCTACAGTAAAGTGGGTGACATTATTTCCACATTGTTTCCTTCATGTATCTGAGGTAAAGGGGGATATTAAGGGAGAAATCCCACCCAGTCTCCCACCCACCCCAGGTCCCTGATGTGGGGCATGCTCCGAGGGTCTTGGTCAAGTGGTTTTGATAGTTCAACAGTTCTGAATTGCTGCCAGTCTTGCCATTCCAAGCACGATGTGGTCGTTGAAGAATCCACTGATTGACATAGAGTCTCGGTTTGCCCAGTTTTTCACTGCCAACACATAGCTGAGGTGGTTGATTGACTTGTTCTGTCCTCTGTCTTTTCATGGTTAGGGTTCTGAGTCCAGCAGTTCGATTGGAGAGATCCCAAAAGAAAAAAAAAATCATTAAAACAAATTTACAGACACTCCAAAAGATGTTCAACTTATATACTCAGCTGGCAAGGGAGATAGCAGGATTGTGACGGTGGCTTTCCCAAGACTTATCCATAGCACTGCAGACATGCTGACCTCTGCAACTTCCACAAATATGGGGAACTCAACGGTATAAACTGTAATGAGGGACTGTGTGTACTCTGCCTTTTTTAAAAAGAAAAGGGGGAAAGATATTTATCCAATAAGTTATGCTTCAATGGTAGAAATTGAAGAGGCAACTGGGAAGCCTCTTGTACTCTTTCCCTACTCTTCGGCAGTAGTTACTGTGGGGAGGCAGGATGCTGCAGCAAGCAAATCCTCTGCCTGTGCCCTCAGCTTCCCGTGTGGGTGCTGGTGTTTGTTCTGGCTGTTCCTCTGCCCATCCAGCTGCCTGTCTGTGGCCTGGGAAAGCAGTGGAGGACGGACCAAAGACTTTGGGATCCTGCACCCGCGTAGGAGACTCAGACGCAGCTCCTGGATCTACTCAACTGGCTGTTGCAGCTGTTTGGGGAGTGAATGGAAGATCTTTCTGTCTCGCCTTGTAAATCTGTCCTTTGAAAATAAGTCATTTTTTAAGGGTACACAGTGAAGAGAATGCTCTCACCCACAACTGTCATTCCCTCCATGTCTCTCCAGATATAATTTTTTTCTTAAGCATCATGGGTATAATCTATGAATACAGGTAATAATTACTATGCTGGCTTTCATACTTCTATCCCAAATGTAATAGATTTATAAGGATAAAGCTTCGAGATGCTAAAATTACTCAGGAAATTACTGCCAAATTTGGTAAAGTTTGAACTTACTGATTGCCCTTTTCCTTTCAAAAGTTCCATGTAACACAGGTGTTCACTTCCTTAACTATTTAGGGAAACCATTATCTAGTATTAATAGGTAGGGAAATATGAAACTATAGATATATATGTGGTTAAAGCAGAACAGGCTGATTCCAGGATTTGGGAAAGAGATGAGCTTAGGAACTTGATCACAATGTGCACTGGGAGGCCTTGGTTCGGTAGGTTGGGTGCGGTTAAGCCTCCGCAGCCCTAGGTGTCGCTGTGGTCCCTGTGTGGGCGTGGGTGTGGCGTCTCGGTGGTTCTAAAGTTGGGGGCGGAGAAGGGGAAGAGTTCCTGGGAAATGATGGCTGATGAAGAGGAGGAAGTCAAGCCTATCTTCCAGAAATTGCAGGTGGGGCCGTAGGTTGAAATCTGTGTGTAGGTGTGTTGCTCGGAGCGCGGCAGGGGCGCGGCCAGCGCGGGGCCCCCCAGTTCCTTCCCAGCCACGCCGCGGCAGCGTCGGTGCGGTTACTATAACAACTCCCGGTGCTGCGGGCCGCCGGCGCTCTTCCCAGCCGGTGTAGGGCCGCACCGAGTGGGACCTGGCTGGCCGCCCCGTCTCAGTTCCGCCTCGAATGGAGGAGCATTCGTTGCTGCTGACTGTATTCTCAAACAGAGTGTCCGTGCGCGTGGCAGGGCCGTCTGCAGGAGCTGGTATTACACGTTCTCCCGAACCCCCGCAGAGGCCGCTTCTGTAATTCCTTTCTGCTCTGAGATGGGCAGCAGACGGTCCCAGCCTGCTCTGCCCGTGTGCTGGCTAAAGCACTGGCTGTTCTGAACACTAATCCAGTTTGGGGTCCCAGGCAAGGGGGCGTTCTACATTCCACCTAGACCCCAGGTGGATGTGTTTCCCCCCCGCCTTTAAAAATATATTGTTTATCATGAAATCTTAATGGATACACTGAGTAATAAAATAAGCATGTATGTGCATAAAACCTGGCCTGAGCAGTACAATAAAAGCAAAAATGTTTGAGGTGTGCCTGTAGATTTAGTCAAGACAAACCTTTTATATATGGCAGGCTGGTGTTAACAGGTTGCTGTCTTTTAGGTAATTCCTGATTACACTGAAACTTAAAATTGGCCTGATCCTGCTGAGATACAGCTTTCTGACGTGTTTGTCGTACTGGCAAAAATGATGTTGTATTGTCAGATATTGGCATAGGGAAAATTAAGGATGAGATTGTTTTTGTTAGGAAGTCCAGTTTTAAATGTGATTTCAAAGTTTATCCTCCGGGGATCAGAGACCAGGTAGAATGGTCTCATTAACCTTCAGCTCAATCCAAGTTGCACAGAATTTCCCTCGTGACTGGTGCGAGGAGTGCCCTCCGCGGCCGGGAGAGCTGTCCTGTCAGTGCGGATCGGCATGGCGTGACTAGATGTCACCGGCTCTCCTTATGATCTCTGACGTCTTGTTAGATCCGCCAACCTACCCGTCGTGCTATTCCTAGGTGACATTAGAGGAACAATAAGTTTAAAAAGCTTTTTAATTAATTAATTAAAAAAAAGATTTATTTATTTTTATTGCAAAGTCAGATATACACAGAGAGGAGGAGAGATAGAAATAGCCTCTGCCCAATGATTCATTCTGAAGTGACCGCAGTGGCCGGTGCTGCACTGATTTGAAGCCAGGAGCCCAGATCTTCTGGGTCTCCCACGCTAGTGCAGGGTCCCAAGGCCTTGGGCTGTCCTTGACTACTCTCCCAGACCACAAGCAGGGAGCTGGAATGGGAAGCAGGGCTGCTGGGATTAGAACCAGCGCCCACATGGGATCCCGGCATGTTCAAGGTGAGGACTTTAGCCGCTAGGCCACAGCACCAGGCCCTATTTTAATTTTTTTAAAAAAGATTTATTTGTATTTATTGGAAAGACAGATCAGATTTACAGAGAGAAGGAGGGACAGGAAGATCTTCCATCCGTTGGTTCACGCTCTAAATGGCCTCAATGACTGGAGCTGAGCCAGGAGCCAAGAGCTTCTTGTAGGTCTCACATGCAGATACAGGGTCCAAAGGCTTTGGGCCATCCTCTGCTGCTCTCCCAGGCTACAAAGAGGGAACTGGGTGGGAAGTGGAGCGGCTGAGACATGAAGCAGTGCCCATATGAGATCTTGGTACTTGCAAGGTGAGGATTTAGCCTTTGAGCCATTGTGCAGGTTCTGTATTATTTGTTTAAAAGGCAGAGACAGAGACAAACTTATTGAGATCTTTATCCTCTGATTCACTACCCAAGTGCCTGTAATAGCCAACACTGGGCCTGGCTGAAGCAGGCAGCTTGGAACCTAGTCCAGGTTTTTCTTGTGAGTGTCAAGGACCCAGGTACTTGAGGCATCCATTACCTGCTGCCTCCAAGGGCGCACACACAGGGAGGCACAAGTAGAAGTGGGGACCCACGTCAGGCACTCCCATGTAGAGCATGGGCTTCTGCAAGGGTGTACACACAGGGAGCCACAAGTGGAAGTGGGGGCCCACGTCGGGCATTCCCACGCCGAGCATGGGCTTCCGCAAGTGGCGTCTTGACTGCTGCTGCTAATGCTCTCTGAGAATCAGTATTTCGTGGCCTGGAGCTTGCTAGCTGATTTCAGATTTTCTTGCCTGCTGCTCTCTCCACCTAGTGTCACCATCCTTACTTCCTTGCGTTCTTCCTTAGGAACTGGTGGATCAGCTCTATGTGTTTCGAGACAGCTATTTTGAGACACACAGTGTGGAGGATGCCGGACGGAAGCCACAGGATGTGCGGGAGGAGATGGAGAAGACCCTGCGGCAGATGGAGGAAGTAGTGGGTGAGCCCTAGGGAGCGCCCCACTGGGGTCCATGCTCTCTCTCTCTGGTCTCTTTGCTGTCCTGTTTGTGCTTGTTGTGGGTTGAGGCCCCCTGTGCAACTTGTAGCCTTCCACTGCCTAGGCTGTTTTTCCTGAAGTGTGATCGCAGCAAGTGGAATGAAATACAGTATCATAGTTGTAGAAATACTGAAGGAATCTTGATTGATCTTTCTGCCTGTACTTCCTTTTACCTTCATGTCAACTTACATAATGTCTACAGCTGTGGTCATCTTTTTAAATCATTAATTCGTGCATTTAATCTTGTGCTCCTGTCTGTCCCTTTATTCAGGTATCTATAGACACCTGTTTGTTGATTGGTTGGAATCTTTCTTAACCTGATTTTCAAGTGTTAGTTTTCTCTTTTTTTCTGACTTAATCTCTGACTGGTTATAGAAAAACTTGTGGTTTTCATCAAGGTCAGACCAGTGTTCCATGAGCCTTTGCATGCGTTTTTGCTGCTGTGTCTATCCTTACATTGTGTTACCCTGAAGGTCTTTTTTTTTTTTTTTAAAGATTTATTTATTTTTATTGGAAATATTTACAGAGAGAAGGGAGTCAGAAAGATCCTCCAATTGCTGGGTCACTCCCCAAGTGGCTGCAACAGCTGGAACTGAGCCAATCTGAAGCCAGGAGCCTCTTCCGGGTCTCCCACGTTGGTGCAGGGTCCCAAGGCTTTGGGCCGTCCTCGACTGCTTTCCCAGGCCACAGGCAGGGAGCTGGATGGGAAGCGGGGCTGCTGGGATTAGAACTGGTGCCCATATGGGATCCAGGCATGTGCAAGGCGAGGACTTTACTGCTAGGCTACTGCGCTAGGCCCCGAGGTTCTTTTCTTGCCTTTTTGAAGCCCGTTTGTTTGGTGTATGCTGTGCACCTCTTCTCATGCTTGTGTCAGTTTTCTGTGTGTGTGGTTTGTCTTCATCAGATTGTCAGCTCCTCCAGGGTAGAAATAGTGCTTTTCTTGTCACCCAGGTACCTACCGTGGCACTCTGCTCACAGCAGGTTTTCAGTAAATTATTTGTTGATAAGGATTTTCTTTAACTCTTTTCATTCCTAAAGCTGGCATGTAGTTATTCCATGAAAGTGACCTGCTCTTTAAGAAATGCATCCTCCTTTTTTCCCCTCTTTTTTCTTTTTTTCCCTTCCTTCTAGGTCCTGCTCAGGGGAAGGCGCAGGCTCTCATGCTGACTGGGAAGGCGCTGAATGTGACGCCCGACTACAGTGCCAGGGCCGAGGAGCTCCTGTCCAAGGCTGTGAAGCTGGAGCCTGAGCTGGTGGAAGCCTGGAACCAGCTGGGCGAGGTGTACTGGAAGAAAGGGGATGTTGCAGCTGCCCACACCTGCTTCTCAGGAGCCCTCACCCACGTGAGCCACCCACTGCCGCCTCGGGAAACACACGCGGGAAGAGCGAGGTTCCTTTGGCTTCTGTGCATTTCCCAAGGACAGACATACCAGAGCAGGACTGACCTTGAAGTAGGAGAGCAGAAAAAAAGGAGAAAAGGTGTGGTGGGGAGGGTGAGAGTCCTGGTTGAAGGAAAAGCAGATAACTAAGGAACTAAGAAAAGAAGGGAATGGAGCCTAGATCAGAGCGGCGTGAGACATGAAGAAGAGTTATCAACTCAGCTCAATCTCACAGACTGAGATGCCTGGGACAGCAAGAATTAAAAGGCAACCTTGAGTTTAGAAGACTGAGATGAGAATAGGTCTGGAAAGGGGAGGTAGAACCTCTGTCTTTTCCATTTGCAGTGCAAGAACAAGGTCTCCCTGCAGAACCTGTCGATGGTGCTTCGGCAGCTGCGGCCGGACAGTGCGGATGAACACTCCCGCCACGTCATGGACAGTGTCCGGCAGGCCAAGTTGGCGGTGCAGATGGATGTCCTTGATGGCCGCTCCTGGTGTGAGTGCTCTCGTGGCCCTCCAGTGTCCTCCAGCATGGCTGCCTAGCAGAGTCACCCCACGGCCCGTCTGTGGAGACTCGGGGTGGGGATGGTGGGCTTGAGGCAAGGATCTTTGTGTTTGGATGACTCACTGTTCTGGAAGTGCTTATGTCTTTCGGTCCAACAGAGGAGACCCAAGTTTCCACAGAAGCAAGAAAGAACTTGTACAGTGTGTGATTTTTCTTTAGGGTCCAGATTTATGATTTTTTCCCCAGTAGGATTTGGGGTTTACTAAACTTAACGTCATCTCCGGTTTGGGTGAGATATGGGGCCTTTTGAAGAGACTTTTGCGGATGAACAAGGTAGGTTGTGTTGTGGACTTGGGTGTTAACATGATTCTGCACTGTTTTTCAGATATTCTGGGAAATGCGTACCTTTCTCTTTACTTCAATACTGGCCAGAACCCCAAGATCTCCCAGCAAGCCCTCAGTGCCTACGCCCGAGCAGTAAGTACTCGGATCACCCGGCCCTGATGAGGTACCCACAAAGGCAGGAGCATCGTCGCGACTTCCTTGTGCTGCTTTATTCCGCGCCCTGACTGGTGTTGCTGGAGTCCAGTGGCTGTGGCTTTGCAAAGCTGTGTTGCAGGGCTCTCTTCTGTCTTCTTGTAACTGGAACGTCAGGGACTACTTACAGTGTAGTGCTTTGGAGTCAGGTAACTCTCCGAGCCATCTAGATTGCCTACGGGCAGGTATAACTGGAACACGCAGCTTGCTTGAGCATTTCTGTTGGGAAAACAAAGCCGATTGAAGTAGTGCTTATGAATATTTGCCTCTGGTCATTTTAAACAGCTTTTTTTGTGATTTATTTATTTTCATGGGAAAGGCAGATCAGATCAGTTACCAGAGAGAAAAAGAGACAGAGAGACAGATATTCTGTCTCCTGGTCCTGCCTGGCCCGGCCCGGCCCAGCCGTTTTAGGCATTTGGGCAATAAACCAGTGTGGGAGATGCCTCCCTCTACCTCTCCCTTCTTTCTCTCTCCCCCTCTCTTTTTACCTTTCAGATAAATGATTAAATAGTGAAAACAGTTCTTTTTTCCTAGGGAGAAAAGACCTGGGACATGTTGGGTAAAGCCATCTTTAAGATTGAGCGAGGGTCCACTGATGATCCTTTATCCCTTTACAGGAGAAGGTTGACAGAAAAGCATCCAGCAACCCTGACCTTCATCTAAACAGGGCGACGGTGAGTCCTGTGGGGTTACGTCATCAGCATGGCAAATGAAAAAGATGTCTGGGTGTTAGCCTCTGAAGAGAACTGAGTATTCACAGGGACACTGATGGGCACCAACTGAAAGGAAAACAAATTATCTCTAAAAGAGCTAACTCAGTTCAACTTAGTATCTGCACTCACCGGAGTGGCTGGAGAAAGGGGCTGAGGAGGTGGCAGAGCATGGGCTGTGTGGGAATGTCCAGTGTACACACAAAATCCGAGTGACTAAACATTGCAGCTTAACTATTTTGGAATCCAGAAGTTAGTTCTTTGAAACAGTTCTATCTGTCATCATCAGCTTCCTAGGCTGTTCCTCGTGGCATAGGAAAAACACAGGGGGAGAAAATGTTCATTTTTCCAAATTTCTAGTTCATTGCGCCATTATCCCCTCAGCATGGCTTGTGTGGATACTCTTAGAGTCAGAGGTGTTTGATTGCTTCTTGTACAGTTACATAAATATGAGGAGAGTTATGGGGAAGCCTTGGAGGGCTTCTCTCAGGCTGCAGCTCTGGACCCTGCCTGGCCGGAACCGAGGCAACGAGAACAGGAGCTCCTAGAATTCCTGGATCGATTAACCAGCCTGCTTGAGAGCAAGGTAAGGTGTGTGTGTGTGTGTGTGTGTGTATGCTTAAGGATTTACTTGTCTGAAAGGCAGAAGTTAGAGAAGAGAGACAAAGACTTCCTATCCACTCATTCACTTTGCAGATGGCCACAATGCCTAAAGTTGGGCCAACCAAAGCTAGGGCTGTAGAACTCCCTCTGAGTTTCCTGTGTGTGTTGGGTAGCAGGGGCGCAAGCACGCAGGCCAGCTACTGCTGCTTCTGCAGGCTCATTTTAGGAAGCTGGATTAGAAGTGGATTAGCCAGGACTTGAACTGATTATCATATGGGATAGTGATGTTGCAGGTGGCAGCTTTAGTTTCAGTGCTGTAGCCGTGGCCATCAAGATGTACAAAGGGCAGGATCCTACTCTGTCATCCTGCCAACGGTCATTAGCAACAAGATGTATTCTTAGTTTTAGATGGTGATGCTGTGGGTGGAGGGAAGGGAAGACCTGGACTCTCGGGGAGAGTGGCTGGTTTCCAGCTCGCTCATTTGTTTTCCCTTCCTTCACAGGGCAAAGTGAAGAACAAAAAGCTCCAGAGCATGCTGGGAAGCTTGCGCCCAGCCCATCTGGGCCCTTGTGGTGATGGGCGCTATCAGTCAGCCTCTGGGCAGAAGGTGGCCCTGGAGCAGAAGCCGCTGAGCGCGCTGCGGCCCGGCGTGAACAGTGGCACCGTGGTCCTGGGGAAGGTGGTGTTCAGCCTTACCACAGAGGAGAAAGTCCCCTTGTGAGTTTCTCGTACCATTCTTCTGTTTTACCCTTCTGAATACTCTCCCTTCTGAGTCCTCTTTGGGCTCAGGTGGGCTTAAACTCTTGTGGAAGGTGAACTTTGAGTTAGGATTCAAGCCTACTTGGGGAGACTGTCTGAAGTGCCAAGGAGCAAATATTCAGCTGAGCATTTACTGGGAAAGGAAGTGAGGACAGAAAGGTGAAGGCTGATTATAGGCCAGCACAGGGATGAATTTAAGAATATTCATATAGGGGCCAGCATCGTAGCGTAATGCGTAAGTCTACTGCTAGCAATGCATGCATTGCACATAGCTGCTGGTTAGTTTCCCAGCTGTTCTACTTCCAATCCAGGTCCCTGCTAGTGGTCTAAGAAAAGCGGCAGAAGATACGTTCAAGTTCTTGGGTCTCTGTCACCCATATGGAAGACTCAAAATGAAGCTCTTGGCACCTAGCTTTGGCCTGCACCAGCCTTGGCCATTGTGACCATCTGGGGAGTAAACTAGTGAGTGAAAGATCTTTCTTTCTCTCTGTCTTTCCTTCTCTCTCTAACTCTGGCTTTCTTTAAAAAGGAATATTCATAGAGAACATTCTTAATTTTTTTCCTTAAATACTGTTTTTGTGGAACTGGCATTGTGGCATTATAAGTTAAGCCCCAGTCATGGTGCCAGCATCCCATTTGTGTGCCAGTTTGAGTCCTAGCTGCTCTCCTTCCAAAGCAGCATCCTGCTAATGGCCTGGGATAGTAGTGGAGGACAGTCCAAGTCCTTCGGACCTGCACCTGTGTGGGAGACCTGGAAGAAGCTCCAGGCTCATGGCTTTGGACTAGCCTGATCAATTCAAAATTTTCAGTGTGTGAAATTAAAAATATTTTTATACCCAACGATACTTACCTATTTTTAGGAAACTATTTATTTTTTATTTGTTTGAAAGGTAGAAAGATGGAAGTGTAGAGAGAGGGATTTTGTCCATCTGCTAGCTCATTCTCCAAGTGCTTTCAACAGCTTGAGCTAAGCGAGCCTAGGCCATGAGCCAGGCACCCAGTTCCTGTCCTCTGCGTGGCAGTAGTTGAGTCATTGTGGCTGCCCGGGACACACATTAGCAGGAAGCTGAATCAGAAGTGGGACTGAGACTTGAACCTTGGTTCCACCATGGAGTGCAGGCAAGTCAGGTGCTACACCTAATGTGTATCCCCTAGATTTATATTTTAATTCAGTTTTTACTGTATGCTACTTATTATTCATTACCTTGTTTTAAAGATTTTTTTTCCCATTTTATTTGAGAGGCAGAAGTCTTTTATCTATTAGGTCATTCTACAAATGCCCTCCACAACCAAACCTGGAACAGGCTGAAACTGTGAGTCCAGAACTCCATGTGGGTCTCCCCATTGGTACCAGGCACTCTAGTATTTGAGCCAACATCTGTTGCCTTGCTGAATATGCATTTGTGGGAAGCTGGATCTTGCATCAAGTTGGGAATGTGAGCATCCCAAGTAGTGACATAACCACTGTCCCAAACACCAGCCTCTCCACAAACTTCCTTTTTTAAAAAAAGGCCTTATTTGGGCCCAGCGCAGTAGCCTAGTGGCTGGATTCCTCGCCTTGTACTCACTGGGATCCCATTTGGGCTCTGGTTCTAATCCTGGAAGCCCTGCTTCCCGTGCGGGTCCCTGCTTGTGGCCTGGGAAAGCAGTCGAGGATGGCCCAAAGCCTTGGGACCCTGCATCCATGTGGAGGCCTAGAGGAGGTTCCAGAATCCTGGCTTTGGATCCCAGGAACATGAAGAGGGGGCTCGAGGAGAAGTGCAGTGGTCAGAACTGAAGCCAGTGTTGCAGCGTAGAACACAAAGGCTGAAGCGCAGTGGCTCCGCTTGCTGTGCCCCGCCAGCCTCAAGTTTTGAATCCTTATATCCGGCTGCTGTGGCTGCAATCAGAACTCTGCAATTCAGTATGTTCAGAATTAGCTGATCTTTCTTCTTAAACTTCTAGATTCCTTTTCAGTGAGTGGTACTGTCTGTCTACCCAGTCAGTAAATACTTATAAAGTCATCCTGAACCCGTATCCGCCTGTATTGAGGCAGTCACTGTAGATTTGCCTTTTGACCCTATTTCTGGATGCTTATTAGTCTTTAAATGTCTGACATGCGTTCTACAGTGCTGCCAGAGAAAATGTTTTCTCAGAGGCAAATCTGGCCATCGCCACTGCTTATGTAAAGTATTAGTAGCACTTGGAATGAAATTTGAGCACTGTAGTTTAATTTAAGAAGTGTATGCTTTGCTCCTGGCCACTCTTTCTGCTCTGCTGTTACTCCCTCACATGTGCCCATTGCTGTAGCCATGGGACTGTTCTGTAGGTTCCTTAAACGAAGTTACTATAACTAGACAGTCTTCCAGCTTCTTAACAGAGTTAATTTCCTCCTGCCAATGTCTTTTTAAATAAAGATGTTAATTTGATTGGATTTTGCTGTGAACGTCTGTGCACTTAACCGTACCCTATAAGGTCCACTAAGAATTAATTTTTCCTACTTTAACCCAATTTTCACCTTGAGAATTGCTTCCTTGAGGAAATATTTCTTTATTTCCAGTTTTGATAAAGATACTTCTCTACATTTGCAAAGCCCAACCTGTGGCCTCACTGAATTCAGCACAGCAAAAAACTTTGCTAGCACCCATCACATGTTACTGTGAGTGATTTTTTTTTTTTTTTGAATTGGAAAGTCAGATATACAGAGAGGAGGAGAATCAAAGGGAAATAGCTTCCTTCTGATGATTCACTCCCCAAGTGAACACAATGGCAGCAGCTGTGCTGATCCAAAGCCAGGAGCCAGGAACTTCTAGGTCCCATGTGGTACAGGGTCCCAAGGTTTTGGGCTGTCCTCGACTGCTTTCCCAGGCCACAAGCAGGGAGTTGGATGGGAAGTGGAGCTATCAGGATTAGAACTGGTGCCCATATGGGATCCTTGCATGCACAAGTGAGGGCTTTAGCTGCTAGCCCACCACGCTGGGCCCAAGTGATGGTTTTTTATTGTCTGACTTCTGCTAGACTGCAGGTCATTTGTAGCTGGATTGGTATCTTTAATTTTTTAAAATATAATCTTTTACTGGAAAGATAGAGCTACAAAGAGAGGATAGGTAGAAAAATCTTCCATCCACTGATTCACTTCCCAATGGTCACTTCGTCCAGAGCTGGTCCAATCCAAAGCTAGGGGCCAGGAGGTTTTTCCAAGTCTCGCACTTTGGGGCAAGTGCCCAAGGACTTGGGCCACCCTCTGCTGCTCTTCCAGGCCGTTAGCAGGGAGCTGAATGGGAAGTGGAGCATCTGGGACTTGAACTGGCATCCATATGGGATACTAGCACCATAAGCAGAGGATTGGCATATTACACTGTCATGCCATCCCTAGCTGGATTGGTATTTTTATCTTAACTATGTCATAATGCTTAACACATGCAGAATGTTCAGAGGAAGTTTGCAGAATTAAAACTACAGGGTTTAGAGTGAAGTAAAATTGATAGATCAGGAACAGTGCTTTCGTGGCATCATATTGAGCTAGTCAATCAATGATTATTTTGAGCGTATCCTGCATTCCTAGAAGAGATTGATGTGTCTTATGCATAAAGATGATCCAAGACAAAAGTACTGAGGGGGATATTATGAATGGTGGCACCTGTCATAGATTTTCTGAATAAATCCAATAGCATTGGTTGATTTTGCTAGTTTTTTCAATCCTGTTTCTGCTCTTTTCTGCTCTCCTACTCCCTCGCCGTCTGCCTTGCTGGCCTGTCTGACCCTGGCAGTACCTTTGGCCTGGTTGATTCAGATGGACCGTGCTATGCAGTGATGGTTTACAACATCGTCCAGAGCTGGGGAGTGCTCATCGGGGACTCGGTGGCCATCCCGGAGCCCAACCTTCGTCTGCATCAGATTCGGCACAAAGGAAAGGTGAGTGGCCGTTAGGGCTCTGCGCCTCTGAAAGTACAGGGATACTTCCTTTTTTTTTTCTTAAAAAGTATAAAAATAACATGTGTGAGTGTATATGCAATATGTATATTTATTATTTCTCAATGGAAGAGAAACTATTGGCAAGCAAAAAAAATTAATAGACTGAAATATTATCAGTAAGCTGTTGTAACAGTTAACAGTTTGGTGTATGCATCTCTAGTTCTTTTAATAGAGTATTTAGACATAATCACGTGGATATTTTGAATCATGATTTGGATAACATGCAAACTTTGTGACTACTCCTGGAGCTCTTCTACATTTTGCCATGTTGTGCTGAGTTGACACATGGTGATGGTGATGAAGATAATAATGCATATGTAACACTGAGCAGTTAACTTAGTGCTAGACGCCGTGCCAAGAGTTTGAACCGACACTCAGTTGGTACTTATAAAAACCTCTGAGAATCAGTATTTCACCATTTTTTTTAGGCATTTGGTCAGGGCTTGACAAAACTATGGCCCATTGACCAAATCAACCTTATAGCCTGTTTTCACTTAGTCACTGAAATAAGAACATTTCAGTTTTGTAAATGAAAAAAGTGGAAAGAATGTATAGTGAGGGGTAAAAGAAAAGCCCAGAAGTAAAGCGTTGTTGGGATGAGCTGCGCGTAGGCATTCCCTGCCACGCCTTTGCAGCATGGTGCCACAGGAGGATTGCTCTGTGGCAAGGCCAGATCACCCCAGACGGAAATATTTACTATTTCACCCTTCACTAAAAATGTTTGATGATACCAGGTCTATTGCCTGGTTTTTCTAATTGCTAAAATACTATATGAACATTTCTTTCTTTGTTTTTTAAAGTTTTTTTTCTTCTTATTTTTTATTTTTAAACATTTTAAAAAAACATTTACTTTAGGGTCTGGCATAATGGCTCAACTGGATAATCTTCCACTGGCAAGCACTGCCATCCTATTTGGGCTCCAGTACATGTCCTGGCTGCTCCGTTTCTGATCCAGCTCCCTGCTTATAACCTGGGAAAATAGCCCTTTACCTATGTCGGAGACCCAGTAGAGGCTCTTGGCTCCTGGCTTCAGATTGGCTCAGCTCTACCTGTTGTAGCCATTTGGGGAGTGAATCAGTGGAAGAAAGATCTTTCTCTCTCTGTCTCTCCTTCTTGCTCTAAACCATTTTTTTAATAAAAAATTAATAAATCTTTATGAAAAAGTAAAAAAACATTTTAAAAGTAAAGATTTACTTTATTTTTATTTGAAAGGCAGAGATAATAGAGAGAAGTTAGATCTTCCATCTGCTGGTTTTCTCCCTAGATGACCACAACAGCCAGAGCTGAGCTGAGCTGTCTGAAGCCAGGAGCCGGAAGCTTTATCCAGGTCTCCTATGCAGGTGCAGAGGCTGGATGATTTGAGCCAGGTACAGAGGTTGAAACACTTGAGCCATCCTCTGCTACTTTCTTGGCCATAGGCAGGGAGCTGGATCAATGGTGGAACAACTGGGACATGAAGTGGTATCCACATGGGATACTGGCACCACAGGCAGAGTCTTAGCCTACTATGCCATGGTGCTGGCTCCTACTTTTTCAAAAGCATTTTTTTAAAAAAAAGATTTATTTATTTTTATACGAAAGTCAGATTTATAGAGTGAAAGATCTTGCATCTGCAGATTCACTCCCCAAGTGGCTGTAATGGCAGGAGCTGCGCCAATCTGAAGTCAGCAGCCTGGAGCCTCTTCTGGGCCTTCCTGTGTGTGTTGGCAGGGAGCTAAATCCTAAGTGGAGCAGCCGCAGTTGGACTGGCCTCTGGCCTCTGGTGTGGGAGACAGGAGTGCCACCAGCAGCAGCATGACTAATCACCATGCCACTGCGCCAGCCTGCCTGTTAAAACTTTAAACACACTGATCTTTGGGAGTTCTTTTTTAAGTTTCAATTTGTATTATTATTATTCTTAAATTGATGATTTATGAAAGCACTTTAATTGGACTTTAAGAGTATATTTCACAGTCCCCATGGAATAGTATTTTTTTAATAAAGATTATTATTTTTTCTTTTTTTCACATTTTATTATTATTGCTATTATTTTATGTTACAGATCCATAATTCCTTAGCCCCTTCCCAAATCCCTCCCCCCCAGTTCCTAATAACGATTATTTTTAAAAAATTTATTTATTGGAGGGCCTGACGCGGTGGCCTAGTGGATAAAGTCCTCGCTTTGCACACACCAAGATCCCACATGGGCACCGGTTCTAATCCCGGCAGCCCCACTTCCCATCTAGTTCCCTGCTCGTGGCCTGGGAAAGCAGTCGAGGACCGCCCAAAGCCTTGGGACCCTGCACTGGCGTGGGAAACCAGGAAGGGGCTCCTGGCTTCGGATCGGCTCAGCACCTGCTGTTGCAGTCACTTGAGGAGTAAATCCGGGATGGAAGATCTTTCTCTGTCTCTCCTCCTCTCTGTATATCTGACTTTCCAACAAAAATAAAATAAATCTTTAAAATAAAATGTATTAATTGGAAAGTCAAAGTTTTGCAGAATGATATCTTCCATCCACTGATTCAGTTCCTGCATGGCAGCAATGGCTGGAGCTGAACCAGGTGGAAACCTGGTTTGTCATGTGGGTGGCAGGGGCCCAGATATGTTAGCAGGGAGCTGGGTTGGAAATGGAACAGCCAGGACCCAAACTGGTGCCTATACGGGATGCTGGCATTGCAAGGGTGACTTTATGTGCTACACCACAATGCTGGCCCTGGATGGAGATGTTTTTCTTTCTTTCTTTTTTTTTTTTATTATTTATTTTTGTCGGAAAGTCAGATATACAGAGAGGAAGAGAGACAGAGAGGAAGATCTTCCATCCACTGGTTCACTCCCCAAGCAGTGGCTAGAGCTGAGCCAATCCAAAGCTATGAGCCTGGAGCCTTCTCTGGGCCTTCCACGTGGGTACAGAGTCCCAAGGCTTTGGGCCAGCCTCCACTGCTTTCCCAGGCCACATTCAGGGAGCTGGATGGGAAGTGGAGCTGCCGGGATTAGAACCTGCACTCATATGGGATCCTGGCACGTTCAAGGCGAGGACCTCACCGGGCCCTTGATGGAGTTCTTTTAACAGTGTATTTTAGGATTTAATAAGCATTTGAAACTGGTCAAGTGAGTAGGTATCTTTTCTGTTGTTTAGAAAATATAAACTACTGTTAATACTTTCTCTTCTTTGCTCTTGATTTAAATGGAAGAAGTAACTTTAACTCATGGCAGATTAATTTGGGGCTTTACAGCATTTGGATTTAAGATTTGTGCTGCTTTGGGCTGCTGCTTGGTGTACTGTGTTATTTCTCAAGAAGCCCTGGGAGGGCAGATTCTCGGAGAGCTGGTGCCATCCTTTTGCTAAGCAGTGCCAGGAAGCAGAGGACTGTCTCATTCCTGTAGTCACACAGCTGGTACCTTATCTGCTTCAGATTTGTCTCCTGAAGCCTGAAAGATTATTGCTAAAGCCCCTTCCCCTTTGTGAGCTCCTTTTTGCCAGAAGAGTCTTGGAGGTAGGTTGGGGGTGTGCACTGTTGCAGAGGGGAAGGATGCCCGCGCTGGAGTTCTTCCGTCTCAGGATCTGTAATGACCCACCGACCATCTGTGTGTCTTTGCCAGGACTATGCCTTTTCCAGTGTTCGCGTGGAGACGCCCCTCCTGCTGGTGGTGAACGGAAAGCCTCAGGGCTCCAGCAGCCAGGCTGCTGCCACGGTGGCATCGAGGCCTCAGTGTGAATGACCTTGCCTCGCTGGCGCTGCGGAGTGGACTGTGGAGATGACCCCAGGCGCTCGGCAGCTGGAGCAGCCACGTCAGAGACTCCACCAGGACGGGCAGGGTGGGGACGTTCCCTTCCTCTGTCCTGTAAGGCGCTTGGGGTCTTTCTTGTCTGTCATTATGTGGAACCCTCTCCAGGGCTGTGCCCTCCCTTGATGTGTCTCTCCTGCCTCTTGCGCTGCTCTCTCTGTTTTAGGCAAAGAGCATGGAATTGGCGGAAGTTTTGGGAACCTGCTGTGGACAGTCTCCCAGGTTCCTGTTTGTGCCTCCTTCCTAAGCTTCTGTGTATATATCAGTTCAGTATTTATTGCTGAGGGAGGGGGCTTAAGTTCTTAGTGGCTTGGTTTTTGAGCAATTTCTATGTTTAAAATTTAGATCCATCCCCTTCTTTGGGGCTGGAATGGAATTAAATTCATTTGGAAATAAAGGAACCCTGTATTTTGGGCTGCTTCATTTTTTTTTTCCCAGGCTTGGATTTTTGGTTTAAGGATCACTTTAATCCAGCAGGGTAATACCTTTTATTACCCCCACTGCCTTTTGGTTTATTTCTCTCCAAGTTTAAAAAATTCTGGCAGTATTCAGCCCAGGGCAGAGTGGCAGCTTCACAAAAGTTGCTGAACCTTCTCTTTTATTTCTTTCCAGTTTTCCATTCTGTCATCTGCAGTGGTCATCCTTAGCCACGGTCCAAGCTGACAGACAATATTATTCCAACAGTGTTAGTGGGCTGCTGCCAGAGAAGGCAAGATCCTCAGTTTCATTAGATGCTAGTGATACATTGTGTAACGGCTTCTCTTACTCTTGTGAAGAAATGGGGACATGTGAGTTGAGGTTTACTAACCAACTGAATAATTATTGTACATTGCCGGATACAGATGACTCTGGCTCAGGTCTGCGTCTGCCGTCCAGCTCCGTTCCGTGTTTGATCGACGACTTGCATGTTACTGTTGTAAAGCAGGACTCGTTAGAGAATGGATGGCAGAATAACTGTCCGACTAGCTGTCTGAAGCAGTGTAAGGGCTGCGTCTAACGAGATAAAATCACCAAGTCCATACTTTTGTTCTCCAAAGGATAGCTTTCTGAGTTGTATGCTCAATATCATACATTAAAATTTATTAGGAACTTTAATAGATGAAGTCAATAGGAGCAAACAGTGTGATAATAGTTGCCAAAAAAAAAAAAAAAGTTTCTTCTTGGACAGCACCAAGGAACCTCTCTGTGATAGCCAGAGAGAATTTTGCATGCCGGTGTCTGTCAGACTGTATGTGTAGTCTTGAATTCAGTTTCTGGTGTTGATTTTGAGGCCTACAGTCATAGAAAAGTGATTAGGAGTTAGTGGGGGGCAGAGCAGGATCCTGAGAATAGCCTAAGCACTGATTTTGGGGGGTTATGAGTGAGCGTTAGAGGCAGTAGGGAGACGAGACCCAGTAACTGGCCAGAGACTGAGAAGTGATCAGTAGGTGGTAACTAGAGAGAAGCAGTGTGTGAAAACAAATCAAATATGTTAAGATGTTTATCTGCGGTTTAAAGCGTAGTTTGGATGCTCATAGAATACCCACCTGCCTTAAAATCTGAGCGTCTGATACCTTAGAAGCCCTGTGTGCCTCTCCATGACCTCGTCTCAATTTGCTTCCACAGCTGTGTAATACCTCATTGTATGGATATGTCAGAATGTATTAATCCTGCTGTTAAAAGGATATTGGACTTTCCAGTTTTCCTGACTTTATTTTGCTGTCAAAGCACTAGTTCTTGTGCACGCGCTTGCAGGTAAGCACAAGAGTGGCTTTTACAGCAGTGGTGCTCATAGAGAGATCCCCAGACCCACAGCATCGCCTGGCCTGGAAGCTTCTTAGAAATGCAAGTTCTCAGGTTCCTGCCCAGACTTCAGTGATTCCAAAACTCTGGGGAAGAGCCCAGTACCCATGCTTAGCAAACCTTCCGGCAAACCTTCGGATGGACACTAGTGAGCGAAGAAAGCTGTCTCAGACTAGTGACAGAAGAATCAAACTGCTGGGTCGGAGAGTGCGTACATGTTTGACATTTTTTGAAAAATACCAAACATTTCTAAAGTGCTGATGCCACTCTTTGCCTCTACTGTAAACGGATGAGCCTTCCTCAAGGTCCCTGTCTTCTTCCATGCTGCTTGCTGTTTTTGGACTTTTTTGGATATTGCAAATATAGGAGTGAATGAACACTGATATTTTCCTGTGGCAAAATGCATGTTCATGTTTTCTGACTACTGTTATGTTGGATTCCAAATTGATTTGAACTGTTTAAATGTCCCTTGTGCGAATGTTTTGTCAGGATATATGCTGCAGACATCTGATCGTTTTTTAGCTTGACTTTTTACTCTAGTAGATTTTTTTTTTTTTTTTACATTTTATTTATTTGTTAGAAAGGTAGAATGACAGAGATGGGGGAGAGAGAGACAGAGAAGAGATCTTCTGTCTGCTGTTTTAGTTCCCAGATTCCTGCCTCAAATAGGGCTGGGCTGAGCTGAAGCCAGGAGCCTGAAATCCTGTGCAGGTCTCCCACGTGGGTGACAGTCTCGGTGCCCGCGCCATCATTTGCTGCCTCCCGGGGGCATTGGAGTGCAACTTGATTCTAGCAACTCCGATGTAACCCTCTGTACCGTGGCACCTGCCTCATTAGGGTCTTTCTCTGAACAGAAGTTCTTAATTCCAATGTGACTGAATGTATTTGTGTTTTGAGAAGTCTTTCCCTGTCCATGAGCACATTGCCCCTCTACTGTCTTGCTTTTCTGGAAAAAAAAATCTTATTTATTTATTCTGTCATTTTATTTAAAGACAGAGAGAAACAGAGATCTTCCATGTGCCTGTTCACTCCCCATCTGCCCATGAAAGCCAGGACAGAGCCAGACTCAAATCAGAAATCTAGAACTCCATTCGGGTCTCCTGCTTGAATGGCAGCAATACAAGTGCTTAAGCTGTCATCTACCACCTCCCAGGAAGCGTGTGAGCAGGAGGCTGGATCAGCAGTAGAGCAGCAGGAACATGAACAAATCACTCTGGTGTAGCATACTGGCATCCCCCGTGATGCCTTAGCATCTGCCCCAGATGCCTGCCTGACTCTGTTTCATGAAATTTTATCATACATTCTGACTTGATGTATGTATATAATTTTTTCCCCAAAACCAATAACATTGGCTCAGCACATTTTGCTAAGAATTTGTCCTTTCTCTACCAAACATGAAAATCTGCTTAGACTTAAGCCAACTTTCTTTATACCCAATGGTGCTTCAGAAAGTCCATGAAACATGTAATTAAATTTGTTTTGGTACAAAACACTTTGAAGTTCATGCCTAGCTATTTCACAATATATATTTTCCATGAGCTTTTTGGAGGGTCTTGATTTTGGTATTTCTGAGCTCTCTTACATGGTTTCTTTGGCTCTGTTTATTATTTTATACCAATACCATGTTGTTGTACGTAGTTTTAAATGAAGCTAATATGTAATATTAATGTTAATATTCACACATAATCTCTTACATGTTTTAAAACCAGCTTGCAAATTTTCATGAGAAATTCCTCTGAGATTTTTTTTTCTTTTTGAAAGGCAGGAAGATAGCGATACCTCCCCTCTACTGGTTCATTCTTCCGATGCCGGCAGCAGCCTTGGCTGCATCAGACAAAGCCAGCAGCCTGGAACTCATGGCGGGTTGTCCCTGTGGATGGCAGGGACCTGGATGCAGTATGATTCTGTGTCACTTGCTGCCTCCCAGGGTGCACAGTAGCAGGAAGCTGGAACTGTGATCTGGGCTGGAGCTTGAAGCCTGGATGCTCTGATACCTGGTGCAGGCATCCCACGTGGCATGTTCAGTGCTCTGCTGACTCCCTGCCTTTTCCTCTGGGCTATTTCATTAGTACTGCAATGACTTACATTTGAGATTGGAAGGATAGATCTCTTTGTAAAATTTTGTTTTCCACTTTTTCCTTCATTTATTTAGGCCTTCTCAGTGTCTTTCAATGTTATTTGTTGTTTTGTTCGGATTGGTTTTATGTATCTTTATTCCTAGCGATTTTATAGCTTTTACTGCTATTGTATGTAACAATGGGGAATAAAAATGCAAATGGTTCCTTTATGTTGTTATGCTTGTTTATGCAGCAGTGATCTTTTAAGAACTCTCACTGTAATAATGCGTTTGATTCTTTGGAGTTTTGTACGTATAAATAATGACTTTAGTTTCTTGCTTCTCAGTTCTTTCCTCCTGTATCATTGCTGTGTGCTGTGACAGCAGACACCATCATAACAATGCGTACCTAAAGAACTACTTGCAACCTTTCATCATTAAATAAGATGGCTTTTCATGTACCTACACTTAGATTCTGAGTTGGAGTTTCTATACAAAATTAAATCTTTTTTTCTAACTTATGTAATTGTTTCTAATGCTTTGTCTGAATTTTTAAAAAAAACAATTATTTTTTTCTCAATTTATTAAGGTGGCGAATTTAAGTACTCAATTTTGACAATAAACCAAACTTGCATTCTTAGTGCAAACCTACTTGTTCAGGATATGTATTTGTAAATACTTACAGATAAATACATTTATGTGTTAAGATGTCACTTATTTGAAAATCAGAGATAGAGGGACACGCACACACACTTGTATCTGCTGGTTCTTTCCCCATATGTCTAAAGTGGCCAGGGCTGAGCCCTGCTGAAGTCAAGAGCCAGGAGTCTCTCTTGGGTACAGGGATCCAAGCACATAGACCATCCTCCTGTGCGAATCCCAGACCATTAGCAGGGAGGTGGGGCATCCGGGACATGAACTGGTACTTATACGGGATGCCAGTGTTGTAGATGATGGCTGTCCTTGCTGTACCACAATGGTGACCCCATATATATATTTGATACTTTACTCAGTATACATGATAACACTTGGGATTTTGTGTCTGTGGGTCCCAAGTGATACTTCTGAGCTTATTTCTTAATTTGTTCTTGTTTTGGCATCGAAGTTATGCTAGCCTTATATGATGATTAAATGGTGTTTCCTCTATGTATTTGAGAAGCATTTTCTTTACAGAAAGATTGCTGATTAAAATTTAAAAAAAAAAGTTTATTTTCATTCACCTGAGAGGCAGAGAGCGAAAGCAAGAGAGCCAGCAAGCATCTTCTGGTTCAGTCCCCTAAGGTGTGCAGCGGGTTACGGTGGAGCCAAGCTGAAGCCAAGAACCCAGAACCCCATCTGGGTTTCCGGCATGGGCGCCAGGAGCCATCATCCACTTCCTTCCAGGATGCTCTCACAGGAAGCTGGCTCAGAAGGGAGTGGCCATGACTTAACAACAATGCAGGAAGTAGGTGTCTCCAGCATCATTTTAACTACCATGCCAAACACATGGCCTGTAGGTTGAGCCTTAAACTTCCAGTTTGAGAGCTTCTCCAGATCAAGACAAAACAAAAGCATACCACTTCAGAATCAGTTTTGGATCTCTGTGGATCAAGGACTTGCTATTAATTCTAAGGCCTTAGGCTTTGTGTTGCTGTCAGCACAGTTATAATTTCCAAATAGAGATTTTTATTATTTTTTTAAAAATGTCCAGGACTGGCATTTTTTTTAAGACTTATTTATTTTTGGGGCCCAGTGCGATGGCGTAGCAGCTAAAGTCCTCGCCTTGCATGCGCTTGCATCCCATCTGGGCACCGGTTCTAGTCCTGGCAACCCCTCTTCCCATCCAGATCCCTGCTTGTGGCCTGGAAAAGCAGTCGAGGATGGCACAATGCCTTGGGAGCCTGCATCTGTGTGGGAGACCTGGAGGAAGTTCCTGGCTCCTGGCTTCAGATCAGCAAAAGCACTGGCCTTTGTAGCTGCTTGGGGAGTGATTCATCGGATGGAAGATCTTCCTCTCTGTCTCTTCTCTGTATACCTGACATTGCAATAAAAATAAATATTTAAAAAAATAGAATAAGTTAAGCTAGTATGGAATGAGAATGAGTTGGGGAACAAGGAAAAGGCACTCCCAAGGGTGCTGGGCCGTTTGGCCAGTTAGCAGCCCCTTGGTTCCTGTGAGCCTGTGTTAGTGTAATGAGCACAGTGTCTTGGGAATAGCTTCAGTGCTGATTGATTCCCATAATGATGTCAGTTTCCTTCTAAGGAAATCCTATATTATTTCTCATAATGTGTGATGGTTGTCTTCCAGTTAATACCCATCTACCACATTTCAAAATGGTTGCCTAGAATCCAGTTAATGATACACAATCCTTTGTTTTAAATTATTCCTCTATTAGTCATTCAACTTTTAAACATTATGAACAATGCAATAAAATTCCATAGTTTTTGTATGCCTATAACTTTTACATACATGACATGAAATTAATTTTAAAGATTTTTTTATTGGAAAGACAGATTTTACAGAGAAGACAGAAAGATCTTTCTTACACTGGTTCATTCCCCATTGACCTCAATGACTAGCACTGAGCCAATCCAAAGCCAGGAGTTGGGAGTTTCTTCCAGGTTTCCACAGGATACCAAGACTTTGGGCCACCCTATACTGCTTTCCCAGGCCATAAGCAGGGAGCTGCATGGAAAGTGGAGCACCAGGGACATGAACTGGCTCCCTTATGAAATTCTGGCTCTTGGAAGGCAAGAATTTAGCCATTGAGTGATTGCACCGGGTCCAAAATGAAATTATTAATTAGATTACTAAACTGTGTTTTATAAAGGATATATCAACTGTTAAAACTTCCTATTCATGAACTTGGGCCCAGCGCCGTGGTCTAGCAGCTAAAGTCCTTGTCTTGAATGCACCGGAGTCCCATGTGGGCACCGGTTCTAATCCTGGCAGCTCCACTTCCCATCCAGTTCCCTGCTTGTGGCCTGGGAAAGCAGTTGAGGATGGCCCAAACCCTTGGGTCTCTGCACCGCGTGGGAGACCAGGAGGAGGCTCCTGGCTCCTGGCTTTGGATTGGCGCAGCACTGGCCATTGTGGTCACTTTGGCGGTGAGTCATCGGACAGACGATCTTCCTCTCTGTCTCTCCTCCTCTATATATATCTGACATTGTAATAAAAATAAAAGAAAATAAATCTTAAAAAGAACTTCCTATTCATGAGCTTATAAAAATATAATACTTAATTGTTTTAAAATTTGCACTTTTCAATTTGTAACTGAGCATCTTTTAAATAAAATACTTGTTAATTACTTATGAATGTGATGTAAACTTGAAAGAGGGCATCCATTCATTATGTCACTTAAACTCATTAAGGACAGGAACTAATCCAACCTTTGAGTTCTAATTATTGTCATATACAAATACGGGTGTTAGGTACTGCCTGCCTGACTTGGAACAAATGGTTGGCTGACTGGATAGCTTGTGGAAAGCAGTAAACGTGAAATAAATATAGGGGATATTTAAACCTTGCATGCAAAAGAACTAAAATAAGAGACTTTTATGGAAACAGTGCAAGTACTCTTTCAAATAGTGGATTTATTCTGGATCTGGCACATTGGCGATATGGGCTAATTCTCTGCTTGCAGCACCAGCAATCCCATATGGGCGCTGGTTTGTATCCCAGCTGCTCCATTTCCCTTTCAGCTCCCTGCTTGTGGCCTGGGAAAGCAGTGGAGGATGGTCCGAGGCTTTGGGACCCTTCAGCTATGTGGGAGACCAGAGGAAGCTCCTGGCCATTTAGGGAGTGAACCAGCAGATGTAAGACCTCTTTCTGTCGCTTCTCTGTAAAGGTCTGCCTTTCAAATAAACATCAGTAAAGCTTTAAAAAAATTAAATTTAT